TAGCAGGAGGAGCAGGAGGAAGACAATGAGGAGGAGGAGGAGGAGGAGGAGGACGGAAGAGAACAGACAAAGAGGATGATGAGGAGGAGGAGAAGGAGGAGGAGGAGGAGAAGGAAGGAGAAGGAGGAAGGAGAAGGAGGATGATGAGGAGGAGGAGAGGAAGAGGAGGAAGGAAAAAGAGGCGGCAATGGGAATAGGAGGAAGAGGAAGGAACAGATGAGGAGGAGGAGGAGAAGTAGGAGGAGGAGAAGAAGCAATGGGAAGCCGAGGATGGAAAAGGAGGCGGAAGAGGATCGGCTCGGTCGTTCTCGAGGGCGTGAGTCAAGCTCACAACTGCTGGGCGGTTGCCACCTCCAATGGAAGCAACAGCCGAAAGGAGGAGGAGGAGGAGGAGGAGGAGGAGGAGGAGTGGGCTTCGTTGGCGCGACTTTCCAGCCTTCGGGAATCAGGAACCAGGAGGAGGAGGAGGAAGAGGAGGAGGAGGAGGAGGAGGAGGAGGAGGAGGAGGAGGAGATGAAAGGAGTATAAGCACACAGCAGGAGGAGGAGGAGGAGGAGGAGGAGGAGGAGGAGGAGATGGGGCATGCGGAGGACGAGGGGGAGGGAACCCTCCTCGGGCTCATGGCCCGGCTCGCGCGGGAGCAGGGCCCGAGGCCGCTCGGGCGCTCGCGGGGGGGCCGTTGCGCCTCGAGCGCCCAGACGGCTGCGGCAGCGGGCAAGGAGGGGCGAGGACGAGGGGGACGAAGAGCGCCCGCGGCAGGGGGGGAGGGAGGGAGATGCGTCGACCCCCCCTAGCCCAGGCTTTTGGGGAAGGTTCTCGAACAGTTCTGACATTTTGGGGGCAGGGGCGAGGACGAGGAGGACGGGAGAGCGCCCGCGGCACGGCGGGAGAAGGAGGAGGGGATCTGTCGACCCCTTATCCCAAGCTTTCTGGAAGGCTTTCGAACGGACCCGAACTTTTGGGCCGAGCCATGGAATGTACGATGGGCGGGCGTCCATCCTCGATAGGGATGCGTCCGAATAGCCCCCTCGGGAAGTACCCCACGGTGTCCCCCTTTTTTCTGGGCGACTTCGTAATTCGTCGAAGAGTCGGGGGCTGGGGGAGAAACATCACCTGCGAGGGAGGAGGAGAGAGGAAGTGAAACAGGTGAATGCATCAAGAAGGAGGATCGACCTATAAACAGTGTTTGTAGACTTCGTCGTGTTGTCTTCCTTGTCCCTCGTCTTGTCTCTGTTCCAGTTCTGCTGCAAGCTATCTAGAAACGACGACAGCCCACGAACTCACCAAAACACCATTGAGGCCGAACCCTGCCAGGAAGGTGAGGGGGGCGGTGAGGGATGAAGGCGGAAAGATAAAACAGGAGGTGGAAGAGGAGGGGAGATGACGACGACGACGTCAACGAGAAGGACGAGCACAAGGCTGACGAGGAGCTGAGGTAGAGACGAAGGGGAGGACTGGAACGACGACATCGGCAACAAGGAGGAAAGACACCAGGATGAGTATCTGGAGGGGACGGGGAGAACAGAGGATCAGGATGACGAGAAGGATGAGGGGAGAACGGGGAGCAGTCGAACATGGGCAAGAGGACGGAAGAGGAGGACGACAACGAGGAGGATGTTGAGGACGGCGACAATTGTCGATGATGAAGAGTGGGAAAATATGGAAAGGACCAGGAATGCTGCTGCTGATGATGATGATGCTGATGGTGATGGTGATGGTGATGATGATGATGATGATGATGATGATGATGATGATGATGATGATGATGATGATGATGATGATGATGATGAGGAGGATGACGAGCAGCAGGAGACGGATGAGAGGAACGACAATCGTGAGTTCCTGCTGAGGGAGAGGACGAGTATTCGGACTGGGAATGTAGCACATGGGTGGCCAGGAGGGGTGGATGATGGATGATGAGGACGGAAGGGTGCGGAGAAAGAGGAGCTTGAAGGGGGTGGAGGATGAGATGGATGAGAAGGAGGTCGAGGAGGCGGCAAGAGGAGTCCAGGAGAAGGGGAGGACAAGGTGGATGAGGAAGGGTGGATCAGGCTTTGCGGGAGGAGGGGCACGAAGGAAATAGTGGAATGCAGAAGAAGTGAAGGTCGCCGGGCAGGAAGGGCAGGAGGAATATGATGCTGACCAGCTGCTGGGTTTCCAGGTCGGAGCCATACATTGGAGGTTGCAACGCCGCCTACAGAGAATCTGCTACTGCGCTCTCACACAGGGAGAGGGAATAACAGGATGGTCGAGCGCATCTTCCTCCTTCTCCTGGTCCCCCTCGCCTTCCTACTCCCCATCTGGACACCTCTGCGAATGCACGGGGCTCCCTCAAAAGACTCCGAACTCCCATTTGAAAACCTCCGAAGCTGTCCTCGCTATCTGCTTCCTCGTCTTCTCCTCCATTCTCCCCCACCCCCAGAAAAGAGGCACTCACATTCGATCCTCGGCCTCGCTCCTTCAGATCTTCGCTGCCCGTCTGTTCCCACCTGGCACCTCAGGAACTCCCTCCAAACCTCCAATATTGCATCTCCTCGTTCGTCGCGTCGCCTACGTGCGCCAGGTGATAAGCCGCGCTGGTCCAGTGCCACAAACAAACGAACGGCCGACCGTTCTGACCAACCGACGATGACGGAGGAATGTCACCAGCAAGAGTACCACACAGAAAACATGGGCAGGGGCCCGCAGAGTCCGCCCCGTCATCCGTCTCCCCTTCGCCCTCAGCCCTCCCCGGCCCTCCCTCACCCCTCTCTCATCTTCGCTTCCTCCAACTCCCCCGAGAAGGAACACGTGCTGCTTGCCGGTTTCCATCCGCACCCACCTCCTTCCCCTCCCCCGACTCATCCAAGTCCCCCTCCTGCATCCCTCCTCACCACTACACCTTCTCCCGCCCCTGTCCTCCTTCCCACTTCTTCCTCCCGTCCTCGTCGTCGGCTGGCGGCCGTTCGTCGTCGTCCTGCAGGAGGCGCTCCACCCCCAAACATCGCGGGCGTCTCGATTTGTAAGAGACCCGGGCCCCCGACCTCACGACCACTTCCCAGGGACTCGTCTGTTATCTCGAGTCGGTTTTCGACGGCCCCGAGGCCCAGTAAGGGCCCCGAGATGCCGAAAATCCACCGACCCCTTGTGGGTCTCTAGGCGTGTGAGATTCTTTCCCCCCCCCCCCACAACCCGCCCTAGAGACCCCAAACCAGCAATTTGACCACCCCACCCGGGCCCGGCCCGAACGCGTCATGGGAGCATAGAGGGCGCCAAAACAGGCCATGAAGGCCCAGCCCCAAGACGATCCAAGAGGGCCCCGAATCGTCGAATGATCGTTCCAAGGCCCCCAAGACGGCATCCAGACGGCCCAAGATGCCAGCAAAACGCCCAAAGACGGCCCAAGACGGCCAAAGAGGCCTCCAAGAGGTCCTCCAGGAGGGCCCGAAAAAGCCAAAATCAATGATTTCCAAATGCGTCTCGAAGGATGTTGGCATTTGCTCTTTTTTGGCATTCCAACGGCTCAAGACGGCCCAAGAGGCCCCCAAGATCGCTCCAAGATCACCCACGAGGCCTCCAAGATGGCCCCAGAACGGCCCCAAGAGGCCCCCAAGACGGCTTCAAGAGGGCCCCCAGAGGCCTGATGGTCTCCAAGACGGCCCCAAGATGCCTCCAAGACGGCTCAAGATGCACCAAAAACTGCCTAAGATGGCCTCAAGATGGCCCACGACGGCCCAAAAGGCCCCCAAGAGGCCTCCAATACGACCCAAGAGGCCTCCAAGAGGTCCTCCAGGACCCGAAGACGCCAAAATCATGGTCCCCCCTTTGGTTTTCGAAATATGCCGGCATTTGCTCTTTTGGGGAATTCCGACGGCTGAAGACGGCCAAAGAGGCGCCCAAGATCGCTCCAAGATCCCCCCACGAGGCCTCCGAGATGGTCCCAGAACGGCCCAACAGGCCCCCAAGACGGCCCCAAGAGGCCCCCAAGGCGGCCCAAAGAGGGCCCCCAGAGGCCTCCAAGACGGCCAAGATGGCTTCCAAGACGGCTCAGATGGCCCCAAGATGCCTCCAAGACGGCTCAAGATGCACCAAGAACGGCCTAGAATTGCCTCACGATGGCCCAAGAGGCCTCCAAGAGATCCTTCAGGAGGACCCGAAGAGTTCAAACTCATAGATGTTCCTTAGGTTGTTGAAGTATTTCGGCATTTGCTTTTATTTTGGCATTCCGACGGCTGAAGACGGCCCAGGAGGTGCCCAAGATCGCCCCAAGATCGCCCACGAGGCATCCAAGATGGCCCCAGGACGACACAAGAGCCCCCAAGACGGCCCCCAGAGGGCCCCAACAGGCCTCCAAGACGACCAAGATGGCCTCCAAGACGGCTAAGACGGCCCAAGATGCACCCAAGATGATGTAATTTGGACTGCACATGGCTCCAAGATGACCCAAGATGGCCTGCAAGACGGCCAAGAAGGCCTCCGAGACGTCGAAGATGGCCCCAAGATGCCTTCAAGACGGCCAAAGATGCACCCAGGACGGCCCAACATTGCCTCAAGATGGCCCACGACGGCCCAAGAGGCCCCCAAGCGGCCTCCAAAACGGCCCAAGAGGCCTCCAAGAGGGCCTCAGAGGCCTCGAAGACCCCCAGGACAGCTCCAGGACGGCCCACAAAGGTCCCAAGACCGCCAAAGAGGCCCCGATGACGGCCCCAGAAGGCCCTCGGACGGCGCCAAAAGGGGGCCCACAAGGAGAACCCGAACCCGCATTTCCAGCCTTCGGCCCCAGCACGCCCCCAGGTTGCCTCAAAAAGCCCCCAACACGCCCCAAGAAGCTCCCAGGGAGCTCGAACAGAGCACCCTAAACGCCCCCAAGAACCTCCCAGGAATCGGACACGCCTCGTGCAATGCAGTCCTGGACGCGCAGAACTTTAGGATGTGGCGTCAGCCTATAGGATAAAGATAAACCCACATCTCGAGTTATTCCAGACGCTGGAGGTCCGGGCCCCCGTCCCCCCATCCCCGGCCTCAACGATGGCGTCGCCGTCTTGGGCCGCCAGCATCTCATCCACGCTCCCGCTGCGGAGGACCTGCCTCAGCTCTTCCTGCGAGGCGTGTTTTATGTTGCACCTTTGGGGGACCTCGACTGTCCCCGAAAGTGGTGTCGTTTCTTGGGCCCGACGCGGGCTCAATGCGGACTCGACGCGGATTCGACGCGGATTCGACACGGATTCGACGCGGATTCGACGTGGATCTGACGAGTCCGACATGGATTCGACACGGACTCGACGCGGATGGGGCCGCGACGGTTCAGACAAGGTCCCCCAAAGATGTAAATCAGTGTGCGCGCGTGTGCTCGAGCACGTGGCTTGCCCAGGCTTGCGAGCGCGTCCCGCAGAGCCGGAGCGAGGAGGCAATGCCGCCGCCCGTCTTGCACTGCTGGTCTTGCTGGTACTCCCCCCCTCCCTGTCCTCCTCCGCCCGTGCTGCGCCCCCTCTGAGCTTCAGCCACGGGGCGCCTTTCTCGAGCCTGCAGGAGAAGTGTGTGTGTGTGTGTGTGTGTGTGTTCGGGCAGGGCAGGGAGGGAGGGAGGGAGGAAGGGAGGCCGAGGAGGAGGAGGGACTAGGATGAGGAAGAGGATGGGGATCGGGAGGGGAAGGAGGGGAGATGGAGGAGGATGAGGAGGAGGAGAAGGAAGAGGAGTGAGGACGAGGACAAACAAGGTGGAGGGAGGGGGACGAGTCCGGGGAGGAGCCCGAGGCTGAACGACTATGACACCGAAACCAGTCGAGGAGGTCGAAGAGGCATTGGGGGGGACGAGGATATTTACGATCAATGCAGAGGAGGAGGAGGAGCAGGAAGAGGACGAGGAGAATGACGAGGGCGACGAGGAGGGACAGCAGGTGAAGGTAAAATGGGGCAATGAAGAGGATGCCGACGACGCCGAGGATGAAACGCAGAAGACAAGGGGGCGCACACGGTGAACGTGGAACGAACAACGGCAAAACGTGAGGACGGGCTGGATACCAAGGGGCCATGGCTGTGGCTCGCGGTCAGGGCGAGCGGCGGTAGAAACGCAAGCGTCAGCCTCCACCGCCTTCTCCATCCCGCCCTCAGTCCTCATCCTTCTCATCCTCTCCTCCTCCTCTTCCACCTCCTCCTCCTCCACCACCTCCTCTGCTCGTTCTCCCCCTCCGCCTCTTCCTCATCTACCTGTTCTCCTCTAGTCTCCTCTCCTCGCATCCTCATCCCCCACCAGCTCTCTGCTGCTCCTCCCTATCTTCTCGATATCCTCCTGACCTCATCCTCCTCATCTTCGTACCCTTCCCCGTTCACCTCCTGGCGTCCTCTCCTACTCCTCGTTCCTCCAACCCCGTCCCCCTCCTCGTCGTCAACATCCTTTTCCTCATCTAGTCCCCCTCTTCTGCTCGGTTCATCTCTCCCTACTCCGCCCACTCCTGAACCTTCCCCCTCATCATCATTATCCTCTCATCCGTCACCTGTCATCCTCCTCCTACACCTCCTTCCTTCTGATCACATCCCTCCCCTCCACCTCCACCTCCACGTCCTCGCTCATACCTCTCCGTCTCCTGCCCGTTCCTCTCCTGCTCCTCTTCCTTGACTGCTCACCCCGATCCTTACCTCGTACCCCACAATCGTTATGATCGGACCTGGGGGGAGTCGAGGGTGCACCACTGAGTGTGGGGGGAGGGTGAAGGGGCCCTGGGACACACAAATAAATAGACACAGATAGCAAGACCCCCAAGATTTTCTAATATTTTCTGGGTTTTTGTCTTCCCCCCCACTTCCCAAATGTCCCCATATTTTCCTGGGAATCGGCGGTTGGTTTTGTCTGGGCGCAACCACTTCACCGCACCTGGTGCAACCAAACCGTCTCCAGCCCACCAGCCCGAAACTTCGTTAACGACAAGCCCTCGCCACTCTCGCAGCCAGCCCAAACCAGCTACGTTGAATGGGGCCCTGGAACACACAAATAAATACAGACAAATAACACAATTCCCAATCTGTTCCCAGATCTGTTTGGTTTTTGTCTTCCCCCCCACTTCCCATATGTTCCCATATTTTCGGGGGAATCGACGATTAACTGTGACTGTGTGCATCCTTCCCTCCTGATACATAGGAGGTAGAGAAGAACGTAGGGAACATGTGACAAGAGCAAGGAATGGACGGCAACACAAGAGAAGGAGGAGCAGGACGAGGGGAGGAGGTGTAGAAGAACAGGGGGCAAGGGGTGATGTGGAACACCATGCTGGGGACGAAACGGAGAAGATATGATTACGAGGAAACAAGGGATGGCGCGGAGGGTCGTGAAGGCGCAGGCGAGGATAATACACAGCAAGACAAGCAGGGTCGTAAGCGAGACGGACATGGCACCAAGGAGGCACAAGAGGAGGTGGAATGGTTGCAGGCACCGCGGTTGAATGGGAAAGCGAAGGCTGCTTGGCTGAAGGCAAAAGGGGGCCGGGAAGAGGACTGGGTGTAGACGGACACGGCGAAGCCTGAGAGGAAAAAGAAATATGGCGATGGACAGGGAATGGAGATTTGTAACGGGGATCTTGTGGCTCACGGTTGAAACTGATGGTTCTGTCCAAGGTTCAAAATACATGCGCCCAGAATTGGTGGGGGAAGTTTGAAAATTACTCACTGCGTGGAGCTGCCAATATGTGCATCCCGTGTGTTATGTCATGCCATGGTGAGCGTCGGTTCATCAGCGCTTGACTATAATAGCGCGCCCACGTGGGCGACAGGGGTGACGAAGACGAGAGAGTCCTAATGCGAGTGAGTGAGTATGAGTCAGAGCGACCTTTGAGTATGATTGAGTATGAGCCTCCCAGTCACTCCCCCTCCTCAGCTGCCAGGCCGCGCTCTCCTCAGCCCGTGCTAACGTGCAAATGTTTTAAGATAGTTTGCAGCGATACCTGTAAAACGAGCGTTTAGCCACACGCGGCCACATGTGCATACCAGGTTGTAGGATAGTGCCACGGCGAGCATGTGCCCATCATCGATGTTTGCTCCACGAGCGCGTCCATGTGAGCGGCGAGCATACGCGCGCGCGCAGCGCGGCTGCACATCCACCACGTGCACGAATCCATTCACATGCATATGCCCGCGCAATTTTTTGTCAGGGCAAAGAATTCCATCGGCGCCGCGCCCGAAGCACCAGGGGGAGCACGAATGACAATTGCTTCAAACGGCACCTCGCGACCTGCACCTCAGCTTTAAACGTCCGCACTTCGCATCGGGCCTAACTGGCAACACAAACAGAAGTCGCAAATGCATGGCGTGCACAAGGCAAGCGCTACACATGGCACCCTCGCGGTGTGCGCCTCGGCTTTGGCCGTCCGCACTTGGCATCGAGCGTAGCTGGCAACGCAAAAAAGAAGCCTTCTTTCGCAGCCGCGCTGGAATAAGAACCGTGCCCTTCCAGCACCCGGATATGGTTATCGGTCGTCTCGTAAACGGCGCCGTCATCCAGCAATTGAGATACGGCCGCCTCTGCTGTCTCCGTGGGCGAGAGGCCCAACTCCGCTGCTTCAAAGGTGCCCAGATCTGCGCAACTTGCTCCGACAGTCGAAGCTCCGCCCACGGAAGCCAGCCATGCCAGAAGCCTGTCGAGCGCCCGAGCAAAACGCGCGTCTGCGCTGACAGCGGCAGCGCTTGCCCCCGAGGACGTCGCAGTGGTCGAGCCTTGATTTGCACTCCCTGGCGCTGTTCCTAGAACAATTCGCATGAAGACCTGTCGAATGTCGGCGGAGCCGCGCCCATCGCCTTGGAGACCTCGTTGTCTTCCCCCCGTCCGCGGCGCCGTGCTAGGCGGCTAGGCATGAGCGTTTCCGACGGAAGAAGTGAGACTGCGTTCAGTGTATATAGAGATGCTGGGTCCGATGGGCGACTCCTCCGTGCGTCCCAGAGGGTACGTGCCGGAGCACGACCCAAGGGAGCAGCACGCCTCATCTCCATTCTCGCAACATGAAAACAAGCAAACCGCCTGAGACTTCCCCATCCCCGCAAAATGGCCGCGAACGGGGCCGTGTCCTACCCCCTGGCGGCTCTCCTTACGGACGCTGAAACCAGCCCCTCGCCTGAGACATCTTCAAAATCTGCTCTGAAAGCTAAGGATGTTGGGCATGAGTGCAAGCAAACCGCCCGAGACATCCTCACAAACTGACCGCGAACGGGCCCGTGAAAACACCCGTGGCGGCTCCTTTCAGGGGTGCTGAAACCAGCGCCCCAACTGAGACATCCTCAAAATCTGCTTTGAAACCCAAGGATGTTGGCACTGGACAAACAAAAAACACGCCTGAGACATCCCCACAAACTGGCCGCGAACGGGCCCGTGAAAACACCCCGCGCGGTGAAACCAACGCTCCGCCTGAGACATCCTCAACATCTGCTCTGAAAGCCAAGGATGTTGGACATGACAACGAGCAAACCGCCTGAGACATCCCCACAAACTGGCCGCGAACGGGACCGTGAAACCACCCCTGGCGGCTCCCCTTAGGGGTGCTGAACCCAGCGCCCCGCCTGAGACATCCTCAAAATCTGCTCTGAAAGCCAAGGATGTTGGGCATGAGAATTACTCACTGCGTGGAAACATCCCCATATGCGCATCTCATGTTTCATATCATGCCATAGTGAGGGTCAGATCAAGAGCGTTTGACTATAATCGCGAACGGGCCCGCGTCCTACCCCCTGGCGGCTCTCCTTAGGGATGCTGGAACCAGCGCCGCGCCTGAGACATCCTCAGCATCTGCTCTGAAACTCAAGGGTGTTGGGCATGAAAACGACCAAACCGCTTGAGACATCCCCACAAACTGGCCGCGAACGGACCCGTGTCCTACCCCTCTGGCGGCTCCCCTTAGGGGTGCTGAAACCACCGCCCCGCCTGAGACATCCTCAGGATTTGCTCTGAAAGCCAAGGATGTTGGGCATGAATACAAGCAAACTGATTGAAAAATCCCCACAAACTGGCCGCGAACGGGCCTGTGAAAACACCCCTGGCTGCTCCTCTGAGGGTGCTGAAGCCAGCGCCCCACCTGAGACATCCTCAGAATCTGCTTCGAAAGCCAAGGCAGTTGGGCATGAAACAAACAAACCGCCTGGCCCATCCCCACAAACTGGCCGCGAACGGGCCCGTGTCCTACCCCCCGGCGGCTCCCCTTAGGGGTGCTGAAACCAGCGCCCCGCGTGAGACATCCTCAGCATCTGCTCTGAAACTCAAGGGTGTTGGGCATGAAAACAAGCAAACCGTCTGGCCCATCCCCACAAACTGGCCGCGACCGGGACCGTGAAACCACCCCTGGCGGCTCCCCTTAGGGGTGCTGAAACCAGCGCCCCGCCTGAGACATCCTCAAAATCTGCTCTGAAAGCCAAGGATGTTGGACATGACAACGAGCAAACCGCCTGAGACATCCCCGCACACTGGCTGCGAACGGGCCCGTGAACCACCCCTGGCGGCTCCACTTAGGGGTGCTGAAACCAGCGCAGCGCCTGAGACATCCTCAGCATCTGCTCTGAAACTCAAGGGTGTTGGGCATGAAAACGAGCAAACCTCCGGAGACGTCCCCACAAACTGGCCGCGAACGGCTCCGTGAAAACACCCGTGGCGGCTCCTTTTCAGGGGTGCTGAAACCAGCGCCCCGCCTGAGACATCCTCAGCATCTGCTTTGAAAGCCAAGGATGTTGGGCATGAAAACGAGCAAACCGCTTAAGACATCCCCAGAAACTGGCCGCGAACGGGCTCGTGAAAACATCCCTGGCGGCTCCTTTAAGGGGTGCTGAAACCACCGCCCCGCCTGAGACATCCTCAAAATCTGCTCTGAAAGCCAAGGATGTTGGGCATGAAAACGAGCAAACCGCCCGAGACATCCCTACAAACTGGCCGCGAACGGGCCCGTGAAAACACCCCTGGCGGCTCCCTTTGCGAGTCTGAGTATGACTAGGTCTGAGTATGAGGAGGTCTCAGTCCGTGCGTTGAGTAACTCAGACTCTGAGAATGTCTGAGTATGTGTAGGTCTGAGTATGCGAAAGTCTGTGTAGGAGCAGTTCTGGGAACGACTTTGGGTATGAGCAAGTCTGGGTACGAAGGAGTCCCAGCATGAGTAAATCTGAGTATGAGTAGGCCTGCATGTTGTGTGTTGGGTAAATCAGACCATGAGAAGGTATGGGTATGAGTAGGTCTGGGTATGAGTAAGTCTGTGTATGAACAGGTGTGTTTTCTCTGGTTCTCTGGAGTCGGCGGTGTCCGACGAATAACAAGAACCCCATCTTAGGATATGGGGAACAAGTTCAACACATTCAAAACAAAAGCGCCGTTTCTGACCCCCCCGCGGCCTCGCCCTCGCGGCGCCCGTTCCCCGGGGCCCACGACGCGCGCCATAAGGGCCCACGCTTGCACTGCGGTGGAAAACGTGGTGCCTTCGCGAGAAACTCGCGATCGGCGTCGTTGCCCTCTTCTGCCGGCAACCAGAACGGGCGCGAGGCTGTCGCCAAATCGGCGTCGGGGGGCCCCGGGCACGGACAACGCCAGGGCGAGGCGGCGGAGACGTCAGAATCGACGCCGTTGTTGTTGCCTCTTCCACAATTTATCTGATCACCCCCGGCAAATTTTACACATGCGTATTTGTGACTCTTGGTCCCCGACCCACTCGTTCCTACTCTCGAATCAACGCCCGCCCGCCCCACCTCGTCCTCGTCCCCCTCCACGCCGCCTTGGGCCTTGCTCAAAACCACATTACCGTCTGGTCCTCGCCCACCTCGCATCCCTCCCACCCATAATTTGCCCTTCCGTGTCGTCCTACTTCCCACGCAACATGGCGCAGCCTGCTCGCCACCCACACTTCTTGAACGATTCCGCAAATGAATTCCTTCAGGGCCCGTGAGGATTCTTGGGCCCCCTTGGGGACCCCCAGAAATTCATGAGAATTCCAGAAAAGGATGAAGAAGGAGTCCTAAAACATATTCGTTTCGAATTCCGAGGCGTTCATGGAAATCCACGAAGATTGCTGGGCTTACGATTCGCACGTATTCCTGAAGTGTGTGTGGGGGGGGGGGGGGGGGGGGGGCGAAGGATATTCCTGACGATCCCAGATGATGAAAGATCCCAGATTTTATATATATATATATATATATATATATATATATGTATATATATATATATATATATATACATACATACATGTACATATAGATACATGCATATATACATATATACATGTTTATTTACATGTGTATATGTATATATATATATAAGGTTACCGGAATATTCCCAAGAAGAACGTGGTTGTTCCTGCAGGTTCCTCAGGATTCTTTGGGGTTCTTGGGAGATTCCTGAGGTTTCAAAGCGGATATTTGCGGTGCCTTGCGAGGTCCTGAGGGTTCCTGAAGATGCCGACGGGCTCCTCAACAATCCCAAGAAGTGCTGAGGAATCCTGCATCTTTCCCAGGGAAACGACAAGTGTTCCTGAAACATCCCTATAGCATTCGCAAGGAATTTGATGATCCCTGCGGGCCCCAGAAGATTTCAAAAAGACGCCCGGGAATTCCTATTCGGAGCATTCATCCGGGATCCTGCCGATTCCTCGTACTATTCCTCAACGGGCCTGCAGGATTCCTGACGGACCCTTGGAGGATTCCGAAGGTTTCCAAGGGACTCTTATATATTCATCAGAAGTGTCAATCATGCCGGAAGGTGCCAAACGGTGTCTGGAAATTCCTGAAGGTCCCGCGAGGATATATGCAGATCTGTAACGACGCGGACATCCTGCAGCTTCCTGAATGTTTCCTTCGGTCTCCTTATATATCCTCCATACTCTTCGGGTTTCCTGCAAATGCGGCCATCCTGCAGATTCCAGAATGCTTCCTTCGGTCTCCTTATATATCCTTCATACTCTTCGGGGTTCCTGCAAATTCTGGGAGGATGTCTTACAATGGTTTCCTGCTGGACTCTGGGGGCTCCCTGAAACAATCCCGAAGGACTCCAACCTGAACCATGGAGGATTCCTGCATTTTCCATGTGGAATCCTGAGCTTCTCCGAGGTTCCTGAAGATTACTCAGGAGATTGCTTGGATATCCCACTTGGATCCCTGAAATCCCCTGAGGGTCCCAGATGACCTCTGAACGATTCTAGAAAGATCTCGACGTTTACCTGAAAACTTCAACAGGTTCTGAACCAATGAAGGATGCGGGGCGGGTCCTGCAATTTCCTCCAGACTCTCCACACGTGCCCCTGGATGATCCCCGAAAGTTTCCGAGGTCCCCGCGAGAGTTCTCGGTGTCCAAATGATTCCAATGGATTCCTCAGCGCTCCTGATCCCGAAAGTTCCTGCACGGGTCCTAGAAGATTCCACTGGACGCAGGGGGACTCTTGGATTCCTGCGGAATCCGCGGGTCTCCTGATGATTCCTGACTGGTCCCCAGAGATCCCCTCCAGATTCCAGATTCCTGAAGATGGGTTCCTGAAAAAAACCCGGAAGAATCCTGAGAAGCCCCTAAGGGCTCAGGAGGATGCCGGAATAATTCCGCAAGGAGTCATGAAGGATCCCAAGAGGATGCCTGGATGTTCCAAGGGATTCTTCGGGTGATTGCGGGTTCTTCGTGGTTTCCGAAGATCCCCGAGGAATCGCGGGAATGGTGCCTGAGGATTCTTCCAAATTCCTCGAGATTAGGTGGGCACCCACGAGAATGTCGCGCGGATCCGTGCAAATCCCAACGGATCGATCACAGACCCTAGACCCTGAAGTTTCCATGCGGATTCGTGCATGAAGCATTTATGCGAATCCCTGAAATTCCTGAAGCATCCTGGTGGCCCACCGATTTTCTTACGGCTCTTACAGAGTGCCCTTCTGGATCTTTGCAAAATCCTGCTGATCTGGCAAAGACTCCAGAAGGGTGACTCGCGATTCTTTTGGATTCCCTGGGATTAGTGGAGAATTCCTCTGAGGCCCTTCGCGATTCCTGACGGCCCCGGAGGATTCGGGTGGACCCCAAGATTCCCAAGGGTTCATGCTGACCCCTGTTGGCCCTTGCCGTGTCCTCAAACACCCTCTTCGTTCCTGAATGAGGATGGCTCACTGGTATCCGCGGGGCAGAGAGAAGGCCGCCAGGGCAGGCGCCTCTGCGGGTTTCGGCGCGCTTCCTCATGGAAGCCTCGGTTCGGCCGCGCGCGGGGCTGCTCCAGCGGGTGCTGCGGCGGCGGACCGCCCGCCCGCCGCAGCTACGCCCCTCTTGTCGGTGCCGGCGCCGCGGCGCCCAGCCTGGGCGCGGGCTGCTCGAGCGCGCCCTGCGCAGGCGCGAGCGGCGCCCCGCTCGCCGCCGCCGCCGGCCCCTCGCCTGCTGGCGGGCTGCGGGCGCGCTCGGGCGCCTCGGCGCGGCCTCTCCCAGAGGGCGCCGTCCCCGCCCGCCCGCGCGTTAGCGCCTTCCCCGCATGGGTCGAGGTCTGCCTGGCCAGGGTCAGCGTTGCCGTCTTCGGCGCCGTGGCCGGCGCCCACCCCGCGGGGGCCGGCCTCGAGCCCAGTCGGGCCTTCGCGGGGGGCGGGGCTGTCCTCCAGCTGGGGGCCGCCGACGGCCTCGGCGCCCCTCCTGGAGTCCGCGTCGGCGCTGCCGAAGGCCTCCACGCCTCCCTCGGCGTAGCCGCCTGCGGCGTCTCGGGGCCCCTGCCCTGCGGGCGCGGCCCAGCAACTGGATGCCGAGGACACTCCCCCACGCGCTCTCGGCGCGACTGGGGATGATGCAGGGCGCTGGGATGCACAGCCATGTCTGCCCGCCTGGTTGCCGCGCGACGGCATGGCTGCCCTGCTGCACGCAAGCCCGCTCGACGCCGCACCATCGCGCGCGGCCCGCGCGCGCGCGTCAAGCTGCTCGCGAAGGCCGCCGGGCCCGACATTCGAACCCACGTCTATCTCAACCTCCAACTCCCCTCTGAGAGGGGCTGGAACTTGAGCCAACTGGATGGACGCCGCGGATGCACACGATGCTGATGATGTGAATGAAAGAAAAGCACGGGAATGACACTAAAAAGGCGAACATGACGAGGCGTAGTATGAAGCGGAGTAAGAGAGAAATGCGTTGGGAGGGAAGCGGGGGACAAAACATGATGATGTCATGCAGAATGGTGACCCGCGCGCCCTGCGAACACGCTGGCATCCATGCCTACACGCGTGGGTGGCCGCGGGCAGCTTGACGCACACCGTCATCATGATCCCAACCAAACTCAGAATACTCATCATCACCACCACCATAAGCATCTTGATCAGCACCATGACCATCACCCTCCTCCTCCTCCCCTCCTCATCCACATCCCTATCTTCATCATCATCATCCTCTTCCTCCTCCGCCTTCTCCTCATCATTATCATCATAAAAATCAGCTCCATCATCATTATGATCATCACCATCATCATCATCACCATCATCAACAACGTCCTGGTTGTATCATCCCTCTGTCTCTTCCGGATTCCGCTGTCCCTCCCTTCCTCCCCCTCCCAACCCAGACCCCCCCCTCGACGCCCCGTGTCCCCTCTTCTGTGGTCCGTGAAGCCCCTCGCCTTCCTCTCCTTCTTCTCCATCCCCTCCTCGTTCTCTCCCTCCTCGTCCGCCGCCTCCACTTCGCCCCCGTGCTCGCTCTCGCCGAACAGCTGCTGCTGCTGCTGCTCCTCCTCCATCTCTCCTCCTCCATGCGCCACCCTCCTCCTTTGCGTTCCCTCCTTCCTGCCCTGCTCTCCCCTACTCCTCCTCCTCCGCCCTCCCTCCTCCCTGCGCCACCCCTTCTCCCTCTGGTTCCCCCCTTCCTGCTCCGATGTCCGTCCCCTCCACTTCACTCCTTCCTCCTCCCTGCGCTTACCCCCTTCCATGCCGCTCCCTCCTTCCTGCTCCGAGCTGAGTCACCTCTTCCTCCTCCCCCTCCTCCTCCCCCTCCTCCTCCCTATGTCCTCCTCCCTTCGCTACCCCTCATTCTTGCCATTTCCTCCTTCCCATTCCGCTCCCCGTTCCCTCCTGCTCCTCCTTCCTTCTTCCTCACTGTGCCACCCCTCCTCTCTGCTGCTCCCTCCTTTCTGCTCCGCTGTTCCTTCCCTTTTCCTCTGTCCTTTTCTCCTCCTCCCCGCCTCCCCTCCTGCCATGCCGGTCCCTCCTTCCTGCTCCGCTCTCCGTCCTCTCCTCCTGCTCCTCCCCCCTTTCTGCTCCCCGGCGCCCCTCGACCTTTCCAGTCCCTCTTTCCTGCTTCGATCTCCGTCCCCCTCTCCTCCTCGTGCCCCCTCCCCCTTCCTCCTCCCTGCGCCACCCCATCCTCCCTTCCGTTCCTTCCATCCTGCCCCGCTCTACGTCCCTTCCTCCTCCGCCGTCATTCTTCCTCCCTGCGACACCCCTCCGCTCGCCGTCCCCTTCTGCTCCCCCCTCCTGCCTCATCCCTGCGCCCACCCCCTCCATGCCGCTCCCTCCTTCCTGCTCCACGTTCCGACCCCCCTCCTCTTCCGTCCTCTTTCCTGCGACACCCCTCCTCCCCCTCGTTCCCTCCTTTGTGGTCCGCCCTCCGTCCTCTCTTCTCCCGTCTTTCCTCTTCCTGTTCCTCCTCGTCCTTCTCCTCCTTCTCCTCCTCCTCCTCATCATCATCATACTCCTCATCATACTCCTCCTTCTCCTCCTCCTCGTCCTCCTCCTCCTCCTCCTCCTCCCCCTCCTCATCTTCAGCACCATCGTCATCATCATCATCATCATCATCATCATCATCATCATCATCATCATCATCATCATCATCATCATCATCATCATCATCATCATCATCACCATCATCATCATCATCATCATCATCATCATCATCATAATCATCACCATCAACATCATCAGCAACATCATCATCATCATCCTCATCCTCATCCTCATCCCCATCATCACCATCACCATCACCATCATCAGCAGCATCATCAGCTTCAACGTCCTCATCATCAGCATCATCAGCAGTATCAGTAGTTGTTCCATCATGAGTATGAGTAGAATCATCGGCATCAGCATCAGCATCATGATCATCATCATCACCATCACCATCATCATCATCAGCAGCATCACCATCATCTAATCACCATAATCAGCATCACCATCATCGTCAGTATCACCAGTGCCATCATCATCATCAGCATCACCATCATCAGTATCATCAGCATCATCATCATCATCATCATCATCATCATCAGCATCATCATCATCATCATCATCATCATCATCATCATCGTCGCCATCGCCATCGTCACCACGATCAACATCATCAGCATCAACATCCGCCTCAGCATCACCATCACCATCATCATCATCATCATCATCATCATCATCATCATCATCATCATCATCATCATCATCATCCGCCTCAGACTCAGCATCATCAGCGTCATCATCAGTATCAATATCAGTATCATTATCCATCTTTCCTCCTCCCTGCGCCATCATTCCTCCTGACCGCTCACTCCGACCTATTTCGCTCTCCGCCCCCTCCTTCTCCTCCGTCCTTCATCCTCCCTGCGCCACCCCTCCGTCCTTCTGCTCGCTCCTTTCTGCTCCGCTCCCCGTCCCCTCCTCCTCCTCCTCCTCCTCCTCCTCCTCCTCCTACTCCTCCCTGTTTCCTCCTCCCTGCGACACCATTCCTCCTTGCCGCTCCCTCCTTCCTGCCCCGCTCTCCGTCCCCTCGTCTTCTTCCTCCTCCTTCTTCTCCCTCTAGTTCCTCCTCCCTGCGCCACCCCTCCTCCATGTCCGCTCCCTCCTTCCTGCTCCGCTCTCCGTCCCGACCTCCTCCTCATCATCCGTCATTCCTTCTCCCCGCGCCACCCCTCCTCCCTTCCACTCCCTCCTTCCTGTTCTGATATTCGTCCCTTCCTCATCATCCGTCATTTCTCCTCCCTGCGCCACCCCTCCTCCCTTCTGTCCCCTTCTTCCTGCTCCGAGTTCCGTCCCGTCCTCCTTCTTCTCCTCCTCCTCCCTCCTTCCTCCTCCGTGCGCCACCCCTGCTCCTTCCTTCTTCTCCCTCCTTCTGCTCCGCTCTCCGTACATCCTCCTCCTCCTCCTCCTCTTCCCTTGTGCTCGAGCTCTGCTCCTTCTGCTCCCTCCTCCGTCGTGTTCCGCTCGTTCCCCCACCCCCCCTACTCCTCTCGTCTCTTCAGCCCTCCTCCGCCCTCGCTCCTCCCTCCTCCCTTCTCCTCCGCCACGGCCGCCCCTCCTCCCTGTCTATCCTCTTCCTCCTCCTCCTCTTCCTCCTCCTCCTGCCTCGCTCCTCCTTCTCTTCCTCATCATCCTCCTCTTCCTTCTCCTCGTCCCCCTCCTCCAGGGATCCGACGCTCCAAAAACAAGGGTGGGCGGGTTTTTACTGTTTTGGTACTCGGGGGGCCCTTGCAAGGCCTCGGGACCGTCCAAAGAACGACTCAGGACGAAAAACGGGCTCCGGGGAAATGGGGCCCACATATCGGAAGAATTGGAACAGCCGGATATCTGGGCCTGTTCCTCTTTCTTTCCTCTCTCTCTCTCTCCCTCTCTCTCTCGCCCCCCCCCTCTCTATATGTTTGTTTTGTTTTCTCTCTCTTTTTTGTTGTTTCTCTCTCTCTCTCTCTCTTTTCCTTTCGGCTCCAGCGAGGACGGCGACGACGGCAATTACGACGACGCGCCCTGGGCCGTTCGGCGGCAATGTCCGGCGAGATACGCCCGTCCCCGTCAATGTCGAACACACCGAAGGCCGTCCAGCAAACGTCCTCCTGCAAGTACATCTTCCTGGATAGTGCGGCTTGCGGGCAGACGACGACGACGAGGACGACGACGTACGACTCTGGCCACGAGGGCATCGGCGTTGATGACGACGGCGTTTGACGATGACGACGCATGCGATGACGAAGACGACACTGACGAGGTTGGCGAAGACGACGACAGTGCCGACCACCACAACGGCGAGGGCGTTCATAACGACGCCGACGACCCCCACCCCCCTTCTCATCCTTCCTAGGAAACATCGTTTTCCTCCTCCTGCTCCTCCTCGTTTATATTCCTCCTTCTTCTTCCCCTGTTCTCCATGCCTTGTCCTTATAAATAACTCCTCCCTGTCGCACCCCGAGACCGGTCGAAAGGGCTGGCTGGACGTTTCGCCTGAGACTTCCCCACCGCTTCGGACTCTGAAGCAAAACATGGCAACGGCTTCGCAGATGGAGGGCGGGCCGCTTCCAAAATGTGGCTCTCGCCGCAGCGCCGCGCACATTCGTTTATAACATTTGCAAAAACTTAACGGATTGAAGGCGGGTGGTTCTCAAACTGTCTCTTTTGCTTTAGCGCCACGAGCAATCGTCTTAAACATGTCAAACAGTTCCAGAGATGGAGGGCGGGTCGCTTTCAAAATGTGGCTCTCGCCTCAGCGCCGCGTACACCCGATTGAAATACATGCAATATCTTCGCGGATTGAGGGCGGGTCGTTTCCAACATGTAGCTCTCGCCTGAGCGCCGCGCATATGCGTCTTAACACATTGCAGGAGCTTCGCGGATTGAGGGTGGTTCGTTTTCAGCATGTGGCTCTCGCCTTAGCGCTGCGCACACTCATTTTAAACAAGTGCAACAATGCCACGGGTTCCCATGGTCAACGTACCATAAATGGTGTTTGGGGGACTCAGAATTATGAGGGTGCTGCGGTTACGGGAAGTCGCGGTGATCGAGTCCATGGAATGGTTTTCTGGCACGATTCAGGATCGCCTAGACGCAACAAAAATATTCATCCGTGGAGTGGGAGTGACGGCGCTTGTGTTTTGGCACGCTTCAGGGTCCTCAAACGGTTGCCCCCCAGCGAGGCAGTTCCCGCAGTGGAAACGAAACCTTACATGGGGCCTGTGAAGAGGGAGCTTGGAGGAAGGGTTCGTTCCAGCATCGTTGATGGCTCTTGGGTTTACACTGGTCCTCCGCCTCCTCCACCTCATCCTCCTCCTCCTCCTCCTCCTCCTCCTCTCCCTCTTCCTTTCTCCTCCTCCTTCTTCCTCCTCCTCCTCCTCCAGCTCCTTCTCCTCCTCCTTCTCCTCCTCCTCCTCCTTCCTCATCATTCCTTCCTCCCCCCCCTACTTCCTCCTCCTCCGCCTCCTTCAAGGGGCGCTCCAGCGCCCGCCTGCGCCGCTGCCTGCCGCGGGCGATCCCCCCCCCTCCCTCGTGGCCCCCTGTCCTCGCCGCGCCCTGCCCGCCTGCCGCACCCTTCGTCGCCGCCGCCGCCGCCGCCGTCGTCTTTTGTCTCCGTCCGCCCCCCCCTTCTCGTCCTCGCCCTCGTCCTCCTCCTCCTCGTCGTCGTCCTCCTCCTCCTCCTCCTCCTTTCCCGACCTCCTGCCTCGTCGCAAGGAAAAGCAAAGCACGCGGAGCCTCTTTTGGCAATCCGCGGCCTCCAAATGCCCCAGCCCCCCCCGGGCCCCGGAACCGTCAAAAAGGGCTCGCGATGAAAGTTGGCCCGGGGGAAGGGGTCTAGACCTCTGGGGCCCCACGCCACGAGTAAGCAATTACCCTGGCGAAAGGCCCAACCATATGCAGTTGTGGCCGTCGGTGGGGCTCCCTCTGGGGCCACGAAACGCTGCACGGGGTAATTCAAATCCGAATTGTGTGTGTGTGTGTTTGTGTGTGGGGGGGACGCATGCGTGCGGTCCTATTGGAGGCTTCGGTGGAGCTCCCTATGAGGCCACGAAGCGCTGTACTGGGTGGGTGAAAATGCCAAATTGGGTTTTCGGGACGCATGCGGGCAGTCCCACTTGGTGCTTCGGTGGAGCTCCCTATGGGGCCACGAAACGTGCGAGGGGTGTGCAGAAATAGAGCGGCACCGACATGCAGAACCTGCCGCTGGGGCTTTCGGTAGTGCCCCCTCAGACAACGAAACGTGTGAGGGGTGCGCCAATGTGTGGAATGGAACCGCATGCGAACGCAGCCACCGGGGCCTTCGGTGGAGCTCCCTGTGGGGCCACGAAACGTGTGAGGGGTGTGCCGAAATGGTGGGTGGAACCGCATGCGAACGCAGCCATTGGGGCCTTCGGTGGAGCTCCCTGTGGGGCCATGGATTGTGTGAAGGGTGTGCCGACAGGGAAGTGGAACCGCATGCGAACGCAGTCACTGGGGCCTTCGGTGGGGCTCGGTGTGGGGCCACGAAACGTGTGACTAGTGTGCCGAAATGGGGTGTCGAACCACATGCGAACGCAGCCACTGGGGCCTTCGGTGGAGTCCCCTATGGGGCCACGAAACGTGTGAGGGGTGTGCCGAATGGGAGGTGGAACCCCCACACCTCTACCTCCTGCCCCTCCTTTCTCCTTCTCCCATGCTCCTCCTCCTCGTCCTCCTCCCCCTCCTCCTCCAAATGGCCGTCCAACGCGGAAGGAAAAAGGGTGCTAGCAACAAACCATATGCTCACGGGCTCCCCCAGACACGGCACCTGGGCATGGAAGGAGCGAACTGCTCGCGCAAAGGAGCTTAACCTCCTCTCTCTTCTCCTCCACCTCCCTCTCCGCCTCATTCCACCTGCTCCTTGGGCATTGGCCTACTATCCTCTCTCATCCTTCCTCCTCCTTCCTTCTCCGCGTCCTCCTTCTCCTCCTCCTCCTCCTCCTCCTCCTCCTCCTCCTCCTCCTCCTCTTTCTATCCTCCTCCTCCTCCAACTCCTTCCACTCCTCATGCTCCTCTTCCTCCTCCTCTTCCTCTTCCTCGCACTCATCCCCTCATCCCCTCATCCTCGCATCAGCATCATCATAAGCATCATCACCACCACCATCACCACCAATATCATCGTCGTCGTCATTAACATCATCATCATCATAAGCAGCATCATCATCACCACCATCACCACCAGCATAATCGTCGTCATCATCGTCATCAGCATAATCAGCGTCACCATCAGCATCAGCACCATCACCATCAGCATCGTCAGTTACATCATCGTCACCATGCGCATCATCAACATCATCATCATCGTCATCATCGCCATCATCGTCACCAGTAGCAACATCAACAGCATCATCATCATCATCATCATCATCATCATCATCATCATCATCATCATCATCATCATCGTCATCATCATCGTCATCATCATCATAGTCATCATCATCATCGTCATAACTCTCATCACCATCACCCGCATCAACATCACCAGCATCGTCATTAGCATCATCATCAACATCATAAGCATCACCAGCATCAGCATCATCATCAGTATCCTCATCGACATCCTCATCATCCTCATCATCATCAACATCATCAACATCATCTCCAGCATCACCATCATCATCATCAACACCATCAGCCGCAGCATCAACATCATTAGCATCACCATCACCAGCAACATCAGCAGCAGCATCATCATCAGCATTCCAATCGGCACCATCATCACATTCCCCCCTTCCCTCCCCTGCGGTGTCCCCACCCGGCGGTCCTCTGCAGCGTCGCGGCCAGAAACTCCGTGTACGCGATCTGGCCGTCCGCGTCGGCGTCGATCGCCTCCTGGGCGTCGGGGCCCCGCGCGCGGGCTCGACTCTCCCCCCCCCTTCTGGCGGGGACGACAGCGGGGGAGGAGGATGACAAGAAGGAGAGCAGAGCAGGAAGGAGGAGGAGGGACGAGGAGGAGGGTGCAGGGAGGGGGAGGGGAGGGAATGAATGAGGGCGTTGGCCCCGCACCAGGAGAGGCGAGCCGAGGATTGTCCCAGCTCCTCCCCCGATGGGACTGGGACGCAAGCTCGGGCCATCTCCGCACTCGCACCCCCGCCGCCGCAGACAACTTCCCTTCCCCTCCCCCCTTTCTCCTGAATGCGTCTTGCCCGCCGTTCGGTAGTTCATCCTCTTCCTCTCATTAGCCATTGGCTTTTGTTGCCTCCCCGCTGGCGCTTCGGGATGGTGGGGGGGTCGAGGGGCACCCACCGCTCGCTGGGGAACCGAACTCGCAGCTCGAAGCGCAAAGGAGGAGGGAGGAGGGAGGGAGGAAGAGGGCGGAAGAGGGAGGGAGGGGGGGGAGGGACGGAGGGAAGGAGGGAGTGAGGGAGAAGGGGAGGGATGGAGGGAGGGAGGGAGGAATGGATGGAGGGAGGGAGGGAGGAGAAGGAGGAGGGGAAGGAGGAGGAGGAGGAGGACGAGAAGAAGGACAAGGGGGATGGGGAGGAGGAGGAAGGAGAAGGAGGAGGAGGAGGAGGAGGAGGAGGAGGAGGAGGAGGAGGAAGGGCGAGGAAGGATGGGAGAGGGCAATAGGCGGATGCGCAAGGAGCGTGTGGAATGGGGCGGAGAGGGCCGCCGAGATCGGCAGCGGGGATGTCATCGAACTGGGTACAGTCAGGAAGCTCGTCATCAACATCATCCTGAATGTCGCTGTGCGGAATGAAAGTCGGGGAACTGAGCAGCGCAACTGCCAAGTGTGGAACCGAGGGTCTACCGTCCGGCACCCAGGTAATCGTCCGGTGGCCTCGACTTGCGGAAAGCGGAGGGCCATGTAGGTGTCGGAGACCGCGGGGACGACGATGAGGAGGTTTGGGAAGAGGGGTGAGCACGATAATGAGGGCTGGAGGAGGAGGCGGCAAGCATGACAAGAGAAGAGAGGAAGAGGGGAAGGAGGAGGAGAAAGGGCGGGGCTGGAAAGAAAAAGAGTAGGACTGAAATGGAGGAAGAGGAGAGAACAGGGAACACGAGGAAGAAGGAACGAGGAGAAGGGGAAGTTTTTTGGGGGGGGGGTGAGGGTGGGTGGGTGGCCAGGGGAACAGGTGGCGAGGAAACATGCCTTCGGATCGGCATTAGCGACTGCAGGCGTCCCACCGACATATCGCGCGAAGAAGCTCAAACTCTAGAACACAACTGTTTAAAAACTCTAAGCCAAAACCTGCGCAAATCTCAAGCCCTATAACAACTTTCAGAAAATGAGAGCCCAAACCCGCGAACACCCTAAACCCGAGGAAAACTTCAAAACATCTGCACGCCAAAACCTGCGACAATCCCAGAGTCCCCAACAAACATTCAAAGCTCTCTGAACCCAAACCAGCGAAAATCTCAACTCTACAAACACTTCAGAAAACTCTAAGCCGAAACCTGGGGGAATCTCAAACTTACCAAACAAAAAAAACAGAACCAGGAATTTCAATACCTTTCAAAAACGATTCTAAAACAACAACAGAAAATCTGAACAACTCTAAAAACTCGAATCGCCTAACAACCCTACAACACATCTAAACGCATAAAAGGTTTGAACTAAACTTTAAAGAAACGCTAAACCAACTCGAAACATTCTAGAAAACTCTAAACACATTTCTGACCGCCTGACGAACTCAAAGAAGAACTCTGGGAAAACTATAACACAACTCTGAATGCAATCCCCGGCGACCTAGGAAACTTGACAAACACTTCAAACCTTTAGAGTTTGAGATGTTCGTGATTTTGGTTTAGAGATGTTAGGAAGTTGTTGACTGACTTTGATATTGTCGCAGGTTTTGGCTTAGAGAAGTTTGGAAGTTGTTCTAGAGTTGATAGTTTCTCATATTTAAGCTTGGAAATTTGTTGTAAGTTGTGTTGGTTGAGATTTCCGCAGGGTTTGGCTTAGATATTGTCTGAAGTATTTTTAGAGTTTGAGAATATTCTTGAAGTATTTTCAGAAGATTTCGGCTGATTATCTCGATGGACCTTCTGTAGCATAATTGCCGAACCTAAAACATGCCCTCACCCCACAATCTTCCGATCATGTCCCAGATCTTCCTCCCTCTCTTCTTTTCCCTCCTCCCGACACGATAATCAGAGGCAGTTCATCATTGAGAGTTGGCTTCATCAGAGCTCGCCTTGATGAGGCTAGGCTGGACAAGCCTGGGGCATCACTGCCCCCACCTGTTTAACGGACATTTAGAAATCCTACGAGGCCGTCGGTCCCATCGTGATGGAAGATCGCTTCCCAGCGGCCGTGGTCGAGATGGCGCTAACCATATTCGAAGGACAACGGTCCCTGAAGGACAACGGGTATCCGTACGAGGCGATTTTGCCAAGCTGCTGCTCAATGGTGACTTGGTCGCCCAGAGCCGTGGTCCTCGCGAAGGCGTTTCTGCATATGATGTCAGAGAGAGCACACACTGTTCGCCTCACCCAGAACTGCATTGTGGACGATAGTCGTGGGCGACACGGCTGGAAGATGCGAAACGCCAACAGACGACAAGATCGCTAGCATGACCGCAGAAAAGAACGCCTTGGCGCTGGCGACGGCGACGACGTCGGCGACGGAGGCAGCGGCTGCGGCGGCGGCGGCGCTGGGCGGCTCCATGATCTGCGGCATGTCCTGCACGTCGCCCAGGCCCGCACGGCGCAGGCCCTCCTTCGATGAGGGGATCGACAGTAGAATTGATGAGCCCCAGAATCATTTCTCTCGTCGGATCTACGGATAAAGACAGGGGGACTCCCTCCTCCTCCTCCTGCTCCTCCTCCTGCTCCTCATCCTCCTCCTCCTCCTCCTCCTCCTCCTCCTCCTCCTTAGATTGGCTCAGGGATGGAGGGGGCGGGAGGGCCAGAAACAGGAGGGAGGAACTGAGGGGCGGGAGGACCACCAGGACCAGGGTAAGGAGAGGGGCAGATCATCGACTCGATTTGCAGGAACCGGGAACTATTCGAAATCTGCCCCCATGCGAGCCAAAGCGGCAAAACGTCGGATCGGAAAAGCTGAGCCGGATCGGCAGGGTTGCATATTCGATTTGATCGGAGTCGAATCGGATCTACAGTCGGGCAGCCGAGATAAGGAACGGTTGGTAAGGAACGAAGCCCCATGTCGGCCCCAGAAGCGCCAGCGTGCACGAGGCGGGCTAGAGGAACAATCACAAAATGACCTAAGGAACATCGAGCCCCTTTCGTACCCAAACTGTTCCTTATTTCAGCGTCTTGACTGTGCCGGATCGAAATGGATCCTGGGATAGCCAGGGAGCGTGGTGATGGTCAATGCACGGGGTCAACGATCTTCGACCAGGGGGGGCGGCGCGCACCACGACCACGAAGAAGCCCCGGCGAGGACGGAGACGAGGCCTGCTCACGAGCTTGATCTCCGAGCACGGGTTTGGACAGGGTCCACCCTGCGAGGTGGACCAGGATGAGAGGCGGGGATTGCTCCATCGCCACCGCCTGTGGGATTGACATGCGGTGACCTCGGCAGGCGGCGGGTATTGACAGATCTGGTCCAGCATTTGTATCAGACCGCCTGCCGAGGTCCAAGAAGTTCGATCCCCCAAGGAGGTGGGGTAATAGAGGAAGAGAAGCTGCATCAACATAACCTCTCGACGGTTCGCGCGGATGTCTTGGATCTGCGCTGACCCGCCTCCCTAGCGCGCGGAGCGTGCCAGGGGAGGCGATGGAGGCGCTGCCAGGGGGCCCCAACGCCGATCCAAGAAATCCGCGCAGAGATCCAACAGTTTGCGTTTATGCAGTTTTTGACTCTTCGAGGTGATGGATGACGAACTGCCCTTGGCGGACAGGAGGTCGCCGTTTTCAACCCCGGGGGCAGCGGGTAGAGGGCGTAGTCGTTGCCGCCGTCTGGGGGCTCCACGGCGACGGCGACTCCAAGCGGGGCCGCGGGTACTGGAGGAAAAGGGCGGGAACGTAGCGTATTGGCACGGAGCTAAAGACGTAGACTGAAAAGGTAGGTCTGGCGGGATACGTTCGCGAAAACGTGGTCCAAGACGTTGAGCCAACACGCAACGAATTGACACGGGGCGTTTTGAGCACGGCGCGTGCTGCGTATCAACATGGGCGTATCGGGGCAGCCAATGGCGGGAACGGTCCTGCAGCTCGGCCACAGACAGGAGCCCATCGTTGTTCTCGTCCATTGCGGTGAAGGTGTCCTCGGCGCGGGCCGGGCAGGAGGAGGGAGAGGCACAGGAGTGGTCTCCCTTTGGCGTAGGATTTAATCAGCCCCTGGGTTTTCCTTTCCGCTCTTTTCTGTTTCCAACCCAATCCAACCATCCCCCCCACATCATGATTCATCCTGTGACAGGAGGGGAAGGAAAGGAGGGTAGAGCGGAGGAGAGGGGGAGGAATACTGAGCACCGAGTGCTAGTCTGGGAGGACTGTCCACACCGTCACACTAGTGGATGGCCTCTGAGCGTCGACCATTGCCGACAGTCATGCCCGCTGGGCAGCATATGAGTGCCGAATGCAGCCCACTGGCCTCTCGGCCAACAGCGGCGCTGCCCCGAGCGGCGACCCCTCCACTTGGCGCGCAGCCTGTGTTGAGAAGAGGAAGAGAGAAGGAGAAGGAAGAGGAGGAGGAGGAGAAGGAAAAGGAGCGAGCGAGCGAACGAGCGAGCCATAGAGCGACGAAGCATCCGAAAAAGGGAGAGCGTGATCAATCATCAACGCCCCCGAGAACTCCGACAGATCCGGCATCACAGGGGAGCGCCCGACGCCGGACGACTGCCCGCGGCGAGCCAGCCCCTGGCTCGCCCACGGACAGGGATCGGGGGAGCGGTCGGGCACGGGGCCCCTCTGGGCATCCGGCCTGGGAGAACCCGAAGGCCCCTCGGGCCCCACAGAGGCCACCAGCAAAAGGCAGGGCCGCAGCACGGTGGACACGCGGCGCCCGCCGCACTCGCAGAGGGCACCCGCACGCGCCTCCGCCTCCCTCGCGGCCGCAGCAGCAGGGGCAGCCTCCCCCTCTCCCCCTCGACGTGCCGGCGCCGGCCTGGCCGCTCCCGTGGCGGCAGCCAATGTGGCGCAGCATCGGCTCGGGCTCACACCGCGCCCCTGGCTTCAGGATAGGAAGGCACCAACTATACACCAACACCGATCCTGGCCCAGGATCCCCCTGGGCCAGGATCGGTGTTGGTGTATAGTTGGTGCCCGCCGACAGGAGCGACATGCAACCGGTTGGGGTCCTCGCAGCGGCCAGACAGCGTTTGCACGGAGCGGCGGAGGACCCAAGGGCCAGGGGCACGGCACCGTGAGCGACTACCACCAGCTGCGGCCCACGGGGCTGAGGAGCCTGGGGGGGCGCCGGGACGGCAGCAGCCTGGGAAGCATCGGGGCGCGCACCAGTGATTTGCACAACTGTAGACAGGAACTGGCACGACGATTTGCAGTCACTGATTGAGGCCCGGAGCGCAGCAACGGCCACATCTGCCACGACAGTGTCTTGGGCTCCTAGCTTGGCAAAGACGTCGGCCCAAGCGTGGCCCAGGAATCGCCAACTTTTTCCCGCGCTCGAATCTTGCTCGATCAACCCCTTCAGCGTGAGACGCGCAGGAGTCCATCGGAACACAGGCCAGCCAGAGCGCTGGGAAGCATGGAAAATCTTGCGCAAGATCGACGCATGAGCTGAGAGACCACTCTCCAGATTGGGGTCCCAACTTTTGCCTTCATTGAGATGGTCACGAATTATGACGGGTGGCGAGCCTGCAGCAGGCCCAGGCCCAAGGAGGACAGCATCTACGCCTGCCCACCGCTCGCTTCTGGGAATTGTTTGAAAGCGACCGGGGAGCCCACCAAATCTGGCCCCAAAGGCCACCAGTCATCAGACATCTCCACAACACTCCAGCCACATCTAGTGGCCTCGGGCACTGAGCTGTGAATGAAGCCCAGACCCATCGGTAAACCGAAACCTTCCCCAAGGACCTTCCGCGAGACCCCAGGTGAGCACAGGGGGCCGAGCCCGGGGAGGGGCCAACTGAATGGGGAGAGAGGGGAGCCCATAGAGCGACGACACGACGTCCCACTCCTCCGACCCGAGGTTCCGCCCCTTATCCCGCAAGGCCTGCCTGTGCTGCCAAACATCGCCAGGGAAGTCCATGCCATCCCCCGACGCCTCGCCCGAGGGGAGAGCATTGGGGCAATCAAAGAACTGGTGGCCCATGGACCTTTTCGGTGCTCCACAGAATGTGCAGGCTGCAGACTGCGAACATCCTGCCTCGAATTTGCGAGCAGGCGGCAACAACCCTCCAGGCCACAAGGCGCGCACCCGAACCCTGGCGGGCACCCGCTGAGAGAGCCGGGACGGAAAGGCGCACCGCCCGAGCCCAACACACCTCGGATCCCGACGCCTCTGGCCAACAGGCCCGACGCCAGAGCCAAACCTCCACTCCATCCAGCACGAGGCTCCGAACCTCCGAGGGCGAGCACCGGCCCCCGCGCCCCCCGCGCCTCCGCGGCAGGACGCCGGGGAGGGGCGCCGCCGCAGCGGGGAGTGCGCTGGGGCGCTGCGGAGGGCGGTCCCGCAGCGCCCGGATCTGGCCCTCGCTGAGCTGCCCGGCGATGATGTGGAGGGCTGCCTGGGCGCGCCCAGGGGGGGGGGGGGGGCGGCGGCGATGGCGGCGGGTCGCGGGCGGCTTCCACGGCGCATCAGCGGCGGTCACGAGGTCTTGCTGCCTGCTGGGCCTCAGGGGGTTCGCACCATGCAGAGAGGCCATCGTGAATCAGCCCATGGGCGATCGAGAAGAGCCAGATATTCGAGCGAGAACGATCACGGCCACAGTCGCGATCCAGCAACCCCAACCCCCACGCGCCCTGTAACAGACGCCTCACCGTCAACCCAATCCTGGCGGCAGGGAATGGACAGGAGACAGGACTTTGTATGTGTTTTGCATGTTTGCTATTTTCGGACTCCTTGGGCCATCGACGGGCCCAGGGATCGTCACGTCAAGAGACTGAAATAATCATTGGCCATGGAGAAAAAGGGTCCACACTTCTGATGTGGCGACAGCAAACGACCACAATCACATCGACCACAATCTCAGCGCATGCCAACAATCGTCAGCACACCGAAACCGCCTTAGTGCTGCTTGTAGTCGATGCGGGCGTCCCAGACGACCAGATCGACCGAGGTCGGATGGTCCCCCCCGAGGGTCCCTCCAGAAACGTCAGCTTTAGTTCGGTTGTTGTCCTTTCCTGTGCGTGGATCTGGGGATCCCCGCTGTGAGATACTGATGGCGTCGGAGCTCCGTGAAGAAAGGCGGGCGGGGGCGGCTCGCGGGCGGCAGCGGCGGCAGAGGGGCCCTCCCTCCCCCCTCTGCCCCGCAGATCTCGGCTCCTCCTCCTCCTCCTCCTCCTCCTCCTCCTCCTCCTCCTCCTCCTCCTCCTCCTCCGTCCCTCCTCCGTCCCTCCTCCTCCTCCTCCTCCTCCTCCTCCTCCTCCTCCTCCTCCGTCCTCCTCATCCTCCTCCTCCTCCTCCTCCTCCTCCTCCTCCTCCTCCTCCTCCTCCTCCTCCTCCTCCTCCGTCCCTCCTCCTCCTCCTCCTCCTCCTCCTCCTCCTCCTCCTCCTCCTCCTCCTCCTCCTCCTCCTCCTCCTCCTCCTCCCCCCCAGCCCATTGAGGAAGGCCTCTCCAATCAGCGGCACCCTTGTGGGCCAACAGGCAGCGGTGATGAGGTGTCCTTCAGCCTGTGCCAACTCCAGCTTCCAATTCTCAATGTCATGGGGTTGACTGTCGGCTACCAACTTCAACGTGATACTGTCCGCTCTAGGGGATCGGAGGGGTTTGGGGGGGCGAAACCACTGTATTATCACGGCCGCCCAGGGTTCTCAGAATTCACCGGGGTTTTCGGAACCGCCCTCAATATGTGAAACTGTTGCAACTTGTAACAAAGCGAATGTGCGCGGCGCTCAGGCGGGAACCACATTATGAAAATGACGCGCCCTCAACCCGTGAAACGCATGCAAGTGTTTAGAATGAATGCGTGCGACGCTAAAGCAAGAGCCACGTTTTGGAAACGGCCTGCCCTCAATGTGTGAAACTGTTGCCAACTCTGAAGCTCCAGGATCATTAGCGATACAGAAATCTCAAGCGAAATGCACGGGCCGCCCTTCCGACTGGCATCGAGGTGCGACAGGGAGGAATTGTTTATGAAGGAAGAGAGTGGAGGACGGCAAGGGGTGAACAGGATAATCAGGATGCTGGCGAGGAGGAGGAGGAGGAGGAAGAGAAGAAGGAGGGGGAGGAAGAGAAGAAAGAACACACATCGAACAGAAGCAGGGATGAGGAGGAGCGGGTCGAAACCAGCGAGATACAGGCAGCATACAGCCACTCCATCCTCATCCCTTCTCCACCCTCCTCCCCCATCCACCTCGTCCTCCATCCTTACCTCCTCATCTTACCGTCCCTCCGCCTCCTCCTTCTCCTCCTCCTCCTCCTCCATCCTCCCCCCTCCTTCTCATCCTCCTTCCTCCTTGTTCCGTCCTCCTCCTGCTCTCCCTCCGCCCCATCCCTTCCCCCTACACCCCTTCCTCCTTCCTTCTCCTCCTTCTCCTCCTCCTCCTCCTCCTCCTCGCCTCCTCCTCCTCCTCCTCCTCCTCCGCCTCCTCCTACGGGCCTTCGCGGGGCCCGACGGCGACGACCAACGAGTAGAGAGGGGATAGGCGAGAGGAGACGGCTTCTCCCAGCATGGCGATCAGCAGCAGGACCCCAGGTGGGGCCCTTGCAGAATGGTGTGGCGCGAGGGAACCTGGGTAGTCGTCAATGTCTGAGGGGCCACGATCGGGGGGATTGGCTCGGGGGAGAACATCGACTTGAAATCGGTGATGCATCGCTCGGCGATGGGCTCTCGGCAGCGGATCCAAAAGTTCCTCTGCGGTGTGGGCTATGAGCTATGAGCCCCTCTTGGCGATCAATGGGCGATTTGGGGTCGATGCGTCCTTTTCCGAGCCTATTTCCACCCCCTAACGCTGCCCCTGCATGTTCCAGGCCGCCCGCATGGGGCCAGAGCAGATAGGAACGGAAGACGGCGCCGCATCGCCGATGCATCGGCGATGCGGCTGGATCCAGAGCCTACTTTTTAATGCCGACGTCGCCGATGCATCGCCGGCGCGGCGCGATCCTCAGACCCCATTTGCTCAGGCCCAACTGGGGCGACCCAAGTCTGCGGTGGCGATCTCCAGCACGAGGCGCCAAGGCTAAAAATGGCCGTGCCTTCGATGCACGTGCAAGTAGGTACCCACACCTCTTGCGGACTGTTTTTCTTGCTCGCCTTTGGCAGTGCCGGAGGCCAACTTCCGGGGCCCGTTCTTGAGCACTGGGGTCATTAGAAATGAACCTGGGGGCGAAGACACTGTCCCGGGGAACGAGTCGAGACCTCTGGGGTCTACATGAACACAGTCCATCCGTCAGAGGTCTGGGGATAAAGCAGAGGCGTGGCGTGGGAAACAAGTTATTCTCGACGTGGAAATCCCCACCAGGGGCTCGAAGAAAGAAATTCGCCACCTGGGCCTCAACAGCCGTTTAATCCAAGAGATGCCGACAGTCTGGGCGCGAAGGGGCCCGCGGAACACCCATCGTCCTCCCTCCTCTTCCCTCCTCCTCCCTCCTCCTCCTCCTCCTCCTCCTCCTCCTCGTCCTCCTCCTCCTCCTCCTCCTCCTCGTCCTCCTCCTCCTCCTCCTCCCTCCTCCGTCCTCCTCCGCAGGCTCCTCTGTCGCCTCCTCCTTCTCCTCCACCTCCTCCTGCTTTGATCGGCCATACAGATACCCCGAACCCTTTGGGAGGGGACCTCATTAGGAGGGCTACAACATAAGGAATGGGGGTCTGCTCTGCATATGCATCAAGCCGAAGAAGAGGGCCCCACGTGAGGCCACGGCTTCCTCGGGCTATTAGGGGTGGGGGTCCTCTTGTTTGGAGAGAACGCGTTTCACGGGCGCTTGCCTGGGGAAAATTCGGCGGCGTGTTTCGATGGGGGGGATGGGCCCCGCCCACCACACTCGGCGCCGTCGATTAAAACAAGGGGGACTCCCCTCCCCCCCAATCCCCCCCCCCTCCGAACCCCCGCCCCCCCCCCCTTCGGCGCCGGCGCCGGCGCTCGCGGCCGCCAGCTGCGCCCACGGCGGGGACGCAGCGACGATGACCAGAGGCAGCCAAGCGGGGGGGGTTTAAACCCCCCCTCCCCCCCCCCCCTGGCCCCCCCCTGGCGCCCGGGGGCGGTGGGGTTCAACCCCGCCCCCCCCTCGCGCCGGCGCCGGCGCTGGCGGCGGCCAGCAGCGCCGGCGCTGGCGCCAGTGACGGCGGGGACGCAGCGACGCTTTCCACCACTACCACCACCACCACCACCAGCACCCCCACCACTTCCACCACCACCACCGGCTCAACCCACTACATCCACCACCAACAGAACCACACAACCACCACCACCACAGCCACCACCACCACCACAACCACCACCACAACTCACCATCACCACCACCACCACCACCACCGCCACAAAAACCTACCACCCACCACCACCACCACCACAATCTACCACACAACAACCACCACCGACACAACCACCACCACTACCAGCAGCACAACCCACCGCCACCACCACAAACCACCACACCACCACCACCACCGCCACCACCACAAACCACCACACCACCACCACCACCGTCACCACCACCACCACCACAAACGTCCACAAACCACCGCCACCACCACAACCCACCACCACCACCACACCACCCACCACCACACCACCACCACACCACCACCACCACCATCACACCACCATCACTGCCACCACCATCACCACCACAAAAAAAAGTAACCACCACTACCACCACCATCACAATCTACCAACAACACCACCACCGCCACAACCACCACTACCAGCAGCACAACCCACCACCACCACAAACCACCACACCACCACCACCACCACCATCACCACCAGCACCACCTCCACAAACCACCGCCACAGCCACAACCCACCACCACCACCAACAACCACCACCACACCACCACAAAACCATCACCACCACCACTACAACCCACCGACACCACCACCACCACCACCACCACCACCACCACCACCACCACAAACCACCACCACAGCACCACCAAACCACTACCACCACCACCTCCACCCACCGCCACAACCACCACCACCACAACAAACCACCACACCACCACCACCACCACCACCACAAGATACCATCACCGCCACCACCACCACCACAACCCACCACCACCACCATCGTCGTCCTCGTCGACTCTCCCCGCCACCGCCGCCCGCCGCCGCAGGCGCCGGCCCAGAAATGGAAATCGTCATCCCCGCCGCCGTCGCCGCCGCCGACGCAAGCGCTGGCCCGAGGAGACGGGAAGCAGGGGAGGGGGGGGGTTCGCCCCCCCCCCCCCCCTCCATCCAGAGGGGAAGGGGGGGCGGGGCCAGTTTCACCCCACCACCCTCCAAGCGACCACACAACTCGCTCTTTCCTTGCTCTCGATGATACTCTACGCCCCGATCCCCGCCCCTGGGGGCGCCACAAGACGCGGCGCATGGGTGGTGAGACCGCCCAGGCTACCCCGGGGTGCTTGGTGAGGGCAGCCTGGACTCCTCCTCCTTCTTCTACTACTTCTTCCTCCTCCTCCTTCCTCCTCCTACGCCTCCTCCTCCTCCTCACCCTCCTCCTCCCTTCTTTGTCGTTCTCCCTCTCTCCTTCCCGTCATCTTCCTCTTCCTCCTCCTTCTCCCTCTCCCCCCCCCCTCCCCCTGGCCCTCCTCATCCTCTTCTCACCCCCGCGCTGTCCCCGCAGACAGGCCCACTATATGCCGCCTTGGGGGCTGAGGCGCGGCTCCGCGATCGCCTGGCACCTGCGACGCCAGCCCCGAGGCTTGTGCGGCTCCCGCAGGCCCACAGAGAGCATACACACGCACTGGAGCAGGAGGGACAGAGCAGCGGAGAGTCGAGGAGCGGAGAGGAGGAGGTGAAGGCGGAGGCGGAGGCGGACGCGGAGGCGGCGGCGGGGGAGGAGAAGGAGGATGCGGAGGAAGAGGAGTGACGATCAGCAGACGGAGGAGGAGGAGGAGGAGGAGGAGGAGGAGGAGGAGGAGGAGGAGTAGGAGGAGGAAGAGGAGAAGAACGAGCAGCAGGGGGAGGAGGAGAACGATAGGATGATGATGATGATGAGGAGGAGGAGGAGGAGTGAAGAGGCGGAGGAGAAGGAGGAGGAGGAGGATAATGAGGAGTGAACAGGATGAGGAGGAGGAGGAGGAGGAGAACGAGGAGGAGGAAGAGGAGGAGGAAGATGAGGAGAACAAGGAGGAGGAAGTGGAAGAGTACGAGGAGGAGGAGGAGGAGCAGGAGGAGGAGGAGAAGGAGGAGGAGGATGATGAGGAGGAGTGATGAGGCGGAGGAGGGGGAGGAGGAGGAGGAGGAGGAGGAGGAGGAGGAGGAGGAGAAGGAGGGATGATCATGAGGAGGGGTACGAGGGGGAGGGGTACGGGGAGGTGGGATACGAAGGATAATGAGGGGAAAGATGATGCTGATGATTATGATGATACTGATGATGATGATGATGATGAGGAGGAGGAGGAGGAGCAGGAGGAGGAGGGAGGATGAGGCCAAACCAACTGGGTTGATCCTCGGGCTGCCTCGGCTCAGAGCTGGCAAAATGCCTGGGCCGTGCCGCGGGCGAACGGCCTACAAACCGTGAACGAGCTGGCGGTGAAACGTGGCAACGAGCTTTCAGGGGGGCGTCAATTTGCCACCTCGCCGATCCTGGGCCCAGGATCCGATGAGCCAGGGCCAGAACAGGAGAGATGGCCAGTTGACGTCCCCTCGAAGCAATACGTACTATAGCCGAGTTTGGCCAAAACACTGGGAGAGCAACCCGGCTTTCAGCCACGCCCATCTCGGGCGGGAGGAGCGGGAGTTTAGAAAGCCTAATAGGGGGATGACCAGCAGCATGAACAGTAAGAGCAGGAGATGCAACACGAGAAGGGATGATGGCGATGGTAACGAAAAGGTTGATGCTGCTGCTGCTGGGGAGGATGAGTCAAGGGTAAAACAGCAATCGGAAACAGCTTCGACGACTGCTGACTAACCGCCATGGTGGCTGGTGATTCGCGCCCGCGGGCATTGAAACCAATACTGATCATGTGCCCCTCAGGAGCTCGGGCGCGCATACCCTCCTCCCTCCTCCCCTCGTCCTCCTTCTCCTCCTCCTCCTCCTCCTCCTCCTCCTCTACGCCCCCTGCTGTCGCGGAGCCGCCCGCCGGTGTCGGCGGGCCAGAACTGCTCATGCGGTTGGACTTCTCATGCGGCTCAAGGCTCCTCAACGCTGGGTTCGCCCCGCAGCCCGCCCACCCTCATCGAGCGGTCCGTTCCCGAAGGCGGGACAAGCCGCCAGAGCGGTCGGGTGGGCTGGGCGCGTTCGGCCTGCGGAGGGGCCCGCTGGCAACCCGAAGGCTCCAGCGCGGCCCTTGAGGGGGAGGGCAGGGGGACAAACGCGAAGAGGGGATAAGGAAGCAGAGGATGGAGGGGGGACACAGAAGCCCAGGGCCCATCCCAAGCTGCCCTCGTCAGAGAGGCCCCGCCGCGGGGCCCTCAGAGCAGCCACTGCCCCCGCGCCTCCCCTGGCCAGTCGCCTCGGGAGGCGGCCAGCGTCTCGGGAGGCCACCGCCGGCGGGCGTCGTCGTCGCCGCCGACGCCCTCTCAGCCGCCGACGCCGCTGGTCGTCGCCGGCGTCGCCGCGGAAGGGAGGGGAGGCAGGGAGGAGGGCGAGGAGGAGGGACGGCGGAGGAGGGAGGAGAGAGGGACACGACGCAGGAGGAGGAGGAGGAGGAGGAGGAGGAGGAGGAGGAGGAGGAGGAGGAGGAGGAGGAGGAGGAGGAGGAGGAGGAGGAGGGAGGAGCAGGAGGGGGAGGAGGAGAAGGAGGAGTTAGGGTGTTAAGGTACCCTGAAAGAAACGAGAAGAGGGCAAGCGGGCACGAGGCGAGGGCAAATAGTGACGTCCGCCGCGTCCGTCGCGAGCTCTCTCACCTATTAAGTAGTGTTTTGGCAGCTCGGTTCGCTGAGGACATCGCCGCAGGGCGTGAGCTCGGGTCAGCGTGGTGCTTCGTTGTGTTGTAAAGGTGAAGCGCTAACGTGATGCGCTCGATTGTCGAGCGCAACGAAAGCGGATTCTGACTCTCGGGCGGGTGCGCAGCTGCAGGCCCAAGGCCCCAGACAGCGAGCGTCGAACGAAGGGGGGGGGGATCAGGGGACCAGAGGAGGCTCGAAGGCGAGGGGCAGGTGAGGTAGTGGGGTAATGAATCTGGTTGGCTCCCGCACCCGAAAACACATAGTTTCGGGGCGAGTACGCGCATGCGGCCAGTGGTAGTCCATCCACCACTACGTGTCTTAAATGTGGCCCAGCGCCAGCTGGGACGCACCGTTTGGAGTGATTCAGTGAGTGCAGACCAGCGCTTTTGTAGCCCTCGTGGCGTCGGCGGCGCCTGGAGGCCCCAGGCCGAGATGCGTTTGAGCAAGGTGGCTGCAAACAGCGAAGCGAAAGCTTGCTCTGCAAGCTTGCGTGCAAATGTGCGCTGACATTTAGGGCCGCGCGGCGGGGCAGCAGCTGCGGCCTCGCGCAGTTCGAGGCGGGCGGCGCGCAAAGCAGCTGAGACGGCTTGGCGGATGAATGGCGTTGCAGGCTGGGCACTTATGATGGGAGCGATCGTACTGAACAATGAACTGCTGGGGCGACCAGAAGGCGGGCGACCGCGCGCCAGCCTGCCAGCGGGGCGCGTTCAGAAGGGAGGCTTCCTCCCAGGAAGTGTCGGCGAGTCAATCGGCAAGCAGCTTCCAGTCCCCCGCGAGTGTGACGGCGGCCGAGCGGGCAGCGGCAGCCAGAGATGTGACCTGAGCGGACTGTGGGACGGGCGGGGGGCTCCACCATGCCACGGCAATGAAATCAACCTTGCGCAGTGAGTTCGGCGGCAGGCTAAGCATCCGATGGAAGACATACTGTTCACGGCGGGCGATCAACGGCTGAAGCGGAAAGGCGGAAAGATCTGAGCGGCATAGCTGAGCGTGGAAAGGACTGAGGTACTATAAAGGCGAACTGTGGCGTCACGATCAATCTGCATTAACTGTAGAACATTACCACATTGCCACCATGTTTGCCCCGGTGCGAGCCACTGTGAAGCCAGCGAGGCCTCGGGGCCGAGGATCGAGCCGAGGTATTTGGCGCAGCCCGCAACCGAGAAACCACCCCAAGGAGGACCGTGCTCGGCCAGGAGGGATTTAGATTGGGCAATGGTGTCTGGGGTCGCCGCGGCCAAGAGCGGAACGATGAAACATCTGCGAGGCTTGGGCGAGAGGCGCGCAAGCTCCTCGGCTGCGGCAAAGGGCTCAGATGCGCGGCGCAGCGCGGCGAAGGAGTATGTCAGCAGCCCGATGTCGTCCGCGCGCGCGCAGAGGTAGTCAGCGTTTAGATTCGGGGTGCCGTCGCGGTGCTCCACAAACGTGGCGAGGTGGCGGATGAGCGGGTCCATGGCGATGGCCCAGGCCGAGCCCGCAGCAGGACAGCCCTGTGCAACTCCAGACTCTAGGGCGAACATGGTGTGCCTGATGCCGCCGATTTGACGTAGCTGCCCGTGGCAAAGTACAGCGCGCGGAAGAGGTTCATGAGGCCAGACGGGATCCCGAAGTGCCCCAGCGCGGCGAAGAGCCAAACCCGCCCCAGAGGCGGGAAGGCGGCAGAGAAGCCGAAGCTCGCGAAAACGGGCTTGGATTGAAGAGTTCCAGGGAGTAGTCCTGCTCGCCGCATCTCAGAGTCGAAGCGAACAATATGCTTGGTGAAGTTGCGCTTCTGCACGAAACCCTGTTGTGCTATGTGGGTGCGCTCTGCCTCAGAGCCCTTGATGAAGTCGTTGGCTGCCCCGGCGATGGCCATTATGGCAATGTTCTTTGGCGAGAGCGGTCGAGTATATTCGGGGGCTCGGTCTGTCATGAGTTCTCCAACAACGTTGTCGCCCTTCGGCAGGATGGCAAAGTTGGGATCATTCAAGCCGCGGATGTAGCACTGGCCGGAGCAGAGGAAGAAGGACACGGTTTCCAGAAGAGTAAGCGAGGCATCGTGCGCGAGCCAAGCGGAGTACGGCAAGCAGTCGGGGCCTGGTGCTGACGGCGAAGTGCGCTGCAGGAAGGCCTTGGTATGCGGCTTCGCGGGGGTCTCAATGTCCAGGATCTCACCCTTCGGCACGCGCGCGTGGATATAGTTGGTGACCTTGGCCTCGTCGACAGGCTTGGCGGCGATGTCGGGCTGCCAGTGGTCGCGCAGGGCGGTGACCATCGAGCCACTCTCTCTCTCTCTCTCTCTCTCTCTCTCTCTCTCTCTCTCTCTCGCTATCTTGGGGCCGTCTGTGCCCATGACCTCGGCCCCCTGCAAGGCGAGATGGCGTTTCCAGGGGGCCCCATAGGAGAGCCCAACGCTGGGCGGTCCGAAGGACCTTCCGGAGCTTCCCAGGGGCCAGGGCGCCAGCGTGCCCCAGAGGGCGCTGTGCGGCTTGCTGCGCGAGAGAGAGTTGCCGCGTCGAAGTCAAGGTAGAGCTGCGAAGCGAGTGCGGCGAAGACAGCAGGCTCGTTTTTCATCGCGATGATGCCTTCGGAGATGTTGGCGAACATGGCGCCGAGCTCGGTCGCGGAGGCAACTCTGCGGGCCAGTTGAAGGTCTCGACGCCCGACGGCTCGAGAGATGGATCGCATCGTGTAGACCCTGCCAGTCAGGAAGCCTGTCTTATTGGAACCCCTAGTAGAGCGGCGGGCCCAATCATCGCGAACCAGCTGGGCGGCCTCCGTCATGGGGCGCTTGTGGGCGCGCCATCGGCCGCCCAACGAGACGCATTCGAAGTTGGTGGCTTCCAGGAGAATCTGGAGGTAGATGGCGTAATTCGGATCGCGAAAGGTGGATGGGTAAATGGCCTGCTCGTCCTTCTGGGTGCGCGGCTTGGCGCCGATCGAGAAAATGGTCGCTAAGGCGACCGTCCGAGAGCAACGCGGCGTCGTGCACAACGTTCGCGTGGACCGAGAGCCCCTGAAAGGCGCGCGATGGCAAGCTGATGAAGATGCGGTCGGTGGTCGCGGCTGTGAAGTCCGAGCGGTTGAAGCGCGCGGGGAGCTCGGTCTCGATTTCAAGCGTGGCGTCGAAAAGGGCCTTCCAGAAGGGCTGCTGCTGGCGCATGCTGTTGTCCAGCGCCAGCCTGGCGCGCTGCGGCTGCGGCTGCAGGAAGCTCTGCGGCGGGCGGCTAGCAACGTCGAAGTCCCCGATCGCGATGAAGCTGCGCGCGCGGTAGTTAGCATCCGCCCAGGTGCGATGTAGCCTTCGTGCCTGCTGGACCTTGCGGCGGTCGGCATCGGCGATCTCGTGATTATGCACACTCATAAGGACCATAGTGGCGCGCGTGACGGCGCGCGTGACGGCAGCCAGCTGGACTCGACCAGGGACGAGTACTTCATGGGCGAATAGCGGGAGCTGGTTGGGCTGCAGCTGCTCGAGCTCCATCGAGGTGAACCAGGGGGTGAGCGCGGCGGCGCCGCCCGTGGCATTTGGGCTGTCGCCGCCGACGCACGGGAACTCAGAGAAGAAGAGCTTGCAAGGGCGCGGCTGCGCGTCGACCCAGGTGCGGAGCAGGGCCTGAGAGCCGTGGGCCTCCTGCCGCGCGATGACGCCCTTGCGCTTCATGTACTTCGCTAGGGCGGCCTGCTTGCGAAGGCGGCGCTTGCTGTTGTAGCACATGAGGGCCCTGGCGTTCCACGTGCCGACATCGGTCGGCCCGGTGGTGTCGTCAACGCTCCACGGAGCCCAATGATGGTTAGGAAAACCACGTGGCCGACTCCGCGTCAGCAGAGAGCGCCTGGAAGGAAGTGACGATGCTGCCGCGATCGATGTGCTGGAACTGCGGGCGGTCGGCGGCCTGGCTGTTCCACTGGGTGACGGACGGGTCGGCTTGACCTCGGCCCAAGATTTTGACGATGGGGATTGGGTCAGTGTGTATGTCGCCTTTGTTCCTGAACGCTCTCCATCTCTGTCTAGGGTATCGTTGCTCATAAGCTGGAGTAGTTTATTTGTTTTAACTCCGGTACAGATCTGCTAAGGAGACTTGTCGGGGTTGAGGTTCATGTCGCAGTGCTGCCCAGTGATGTCTGTCGACGAAAATCTTTTCCACTTCCCAGCGGTGTCTCGGAGGGCGCGCGATAAGGCAAGGGCGCGAGGCACCGCGCTAGCTTTATCTACTTTGACTTGTAGAATGAAGCGGCGAGCACGTGCGTCACCGAGAAGCTCGACATGGCTTGACTGTAGGTCGGCAGCGGCGATCCACTCCTGGAGGTCATTGAGCAGCAGGTCAGCGGCGATGAGGCGCTGGCTACCGATCGCGAAGAGCGTCGGGGCGGGCTGTCGGTCCCACTCGGCAAGGCGGCTGAGGTCAGGGACCGGCGTCTGGGCTTCGGCGAGGGCTAGCGCGTCGCGCACCTGGTCGATATGTTGCCACATGCGTTGATGTTCAGCAACTTGGCGGTCTTGATCTCTGCGAGTGCGGGCAACTTCGTCGTGTAGAGCGTCAACTCTTCGTTCAGTAACCATAACTTGCCGTTGCGCGAGATGTCTGAAACTTTCGCGCGATTCGGCGAGTAGCTGGTCGGCTTGGGCTTGAAAGCGAGTAGCGGCTTCGGCGACTTGACGTTGCATAAGCTCACGAAGGGCGACGTCAAGATCTTCAAATATTCCAGGAAGCGGTTAAATTCGTCCAGGAGGGGTAGGTTGCTGCTCTGGAGGAGGTGCGGCGTGTCCATGAACTGGTGCGGCTTGTGCAGCGGCCGCGGCGGCGACTTCTTGAGATGGGAATGTAGAAGCCAGCTCGATGACGCGCGTACGCTGTGAGCCGAAGTTGCAATTGGCCCAGGGGTCGGCGGCGCCCAGGAGCGGGTCAGCAGGCGGAGGATCATGCGGCGGCATATCTTCAATCTTCCATGGCCACGGGGGTGGCTTCGGCAGCGGCACGGCCTCCAGATCTGGCTGAGGATCGCGCCGAGGTGGGCGGCGGTCTCGCGTCGCCTCGACCAGAAGCACGTGAGGGAGCACCTGCGTGGCATTGGCTGCTGAAGCCCGTGTGGCCGAGCTGTCCGAGATGTTCTCGAGCTGCACGTCGCCCATCTCGGCGAGGCTCTTCACGGGGGGGCTGGCGGTCGTCACCGCGTTCAGGGCGGCGAGTCTCGTCGCGGCGATGTTGGCGGTCTTCGCGTCTGCTGCGAGACGTGGGTCCGTTCGATGCGGATTGGCTTCGGTCAGGTGAGGCAGCCGACATGATGTCGAAGTAGCTGGTCGTAGTGCGAGCGGGAGCTGGAAGCCAAGCACCTTCAGATATTCTTGCCCAGAACATGGCGGTTGTGGCACAGGCCCAGGAGGAGGTAGCTGAGCGTGGCACCTTGGCTCGAGAACCCGTGTAAAGAAGATCTTTGTGCAGCACATCGCGGAAGAGGCCAACAGGTTGCCCAGCGAAGGCGCGAATATGGAAGGGCGGCCGCTCGCCCGTGATTGTGGCGGCAATGTGGAAGGGCGGCCGCTAGCCCGAGGTTGTGGCGGCAGACGACTGGATGCTGGATGGCTCGGGAACCTACCCCGCTGAGGCAGTGAATGGAACGCCATTTGGCTTTGAGCCCAAACTGGCTTGAGCCAAAATGTCTACGGAAGGAGGAGGAGGAGGAAGAGGAGGAGGAGGAGGAGGAGGAGGAAGAGGTGGAGAAGGAGGAGGAGGAGGAGGAGGGCGACGAGGGGGGACGGAGGAGAAGGGAGGAGGAGGATGAGGAGGATGAGGAGGAGCAGGAGGAGGAGAAGGAGGAGGAGGAGGTGGAGGAGGGAGAAGGAAAAAGCACAGGAGGGAAAAGAACGCGTGAGGGAGAGGCCGGGTAAGGGAAGGACGGACCCGGGCTTTTACATGCTTGCTTATGGCGGCAAGTAGGCCACCGCTGTTAATTACACAGCCAGTCTTGGCACTGCAGACTCGGCGACGAAAAGGATACGTATCACTGTTTCTTACAAGCGCGAAGGGAGCCCTGTGGCGAGGAAAGCAAACGGGGGTGGAGGCATGGGGCGGGGCAGGGAGAAGGATAGCACACACACAGAAGACTGATTTGTTACACGAATTGCTGTGCCGATACCTGGACCCTGCATCGCGAGCTTTCAAGAACTAGAACAGGAGTGTGGCGCTCCAGCGGGGGCAGCGGCCGTAAGGATGAACATAATTTAACCGATCCCAATCCCCACGGGCGTGGCCTGAGCCCCATTGGCCAATGTGCCCCCTATCTGATGATATAGGATCGGCTGCTGCGTTCGGGGTTCGATGAGTACATCTCCCTAACTGGGGCGGTGGGATGGTGGGAATCGGGACGGGGATGGCGATAGGGATAGGCATCGGAATGACGCGCGGACATGCGCGCGGCATGAATGTGAGCGGGTGGACACCTCCGCAGCAGATCTCATCGGACGGTGCTGCGCACCGCACCTCTACCGAAGGGCTGCGCCCCCAAGAGACTGCCCTTGAGCGCGCCGCAGCCGCCCGTGGGGGGGGCGGGGGCTAGCCTCGGCCCGACCCATTGAATACGGCAGGTTCGCGTCGCGATGCCATCGGCGTTGGTCTCTGACACCCCAGTGGATCGTTCAGCCTTGAACGATCGCGGCCTTCCAGTGGGGCAGGTCGTTGGCTATCGGCCGATTCCAAGGCACCGGCGGCGTCGCTCGGCCTTGAACGCCCGCTCTGGAGGCCACCGCCGCAGCAGCGCTTGAACCTACCGTATTCGGCTCGGGCCCCCGAAGCCCCGAGGACCAAGCGCGGCAGCCATGTCCACGGGTTGTCGCCAGGCGGGCGAGGAAGATGAGGAGGAGGACCAGAGTCAACCACGCTCTACCTTCATAGGCCCCTACAAAAAATCTGCCGACCCCTTGGGGTCACGGCGTATGAGATGCTTCCCCCCTCCCCAAACCCCTTCCCCCTCCCCCGGGAGCGGTGCAAAAGTGCCAGCGGCACCGTTGGAGCCTCGGGGGGCCCCAAAACGGGCCAAGAGGACCGTAATAGGCCCACCGGACGGTCCAAGAGGGCTACGAGTCGCCGAAAGATCGCGCCAAGACGCCCAACATTGCCTCCAGACGGCCTCAGAGGCCCCCAAGACGCCCACAAGTCGTCCCATTCCCTGGGGGAAACGAATAGTTTTTGTACATTCGCCTCTTGGGCTTTCACGAGGCCCATAACGGCCCAAGAAGCTTTCAAGATCGACCCAAGATAACTCAAGAGGCACCCAGGCCCAGAGGGGTAACCCGAATGGACTTTTCGAGCACTCGGCCCAGAACAAACCTGAGGAGGCGCCAAGAATCCCCCAAGAGGCTTTCACGAAGCCCCCGAGACGCCCAAAAGAAGCCCCTGGAGGCCTCAACACGGCTCCCAAGAGGCATCAGAAGTGCTGCCAGGAGAGCCCAGAGAAGCCCAAGAGCAGAGCCGCGATCCGCCAACCGCCCCCGACGAAATCCCAAGAAGCTGAAACCCCAAGATTCTCAAGAACCGCGCGCGTTCCACAAGCTCCCAAAATCGCGGCGGTGCGGCGCCAGCCACTGCATCATTTCCACTGAGGGAACTGTCTCGTTGGAAGAAACCATTTGAAGACCCTGACGCATGCCAAAACATTACTCTCGGGACTCCAACGCCACGGATCAACCTGACCGTTGCGCCTTGACGATCCTGAACCGTGCCAGAGAGCCAATCCTGGGACTGCAACACCGCGAATCAACGTAAGCACCCTCATCATCCTGAAATTCTCCAGCATTAAAGTTCTGGTATGCTGACCATGGGTAGATGTGCCTTGCAACATGTAACAAGAAACATGCATTTTGAAAAGGAGCTGCCCTCAACCCGTGAACTCCTGCAACAGCGAGAGCCACATGATGAAAACGACCCACCCTGCCACCATACAAGCTTCATGGTTGTACGTAAGCCTTAAGCGAAACGCCTGGCCCGCCCTTTCCACCGGCCTGGGGGTGCGACAGGGAGACATCATTTATAAGGGAAAAGAATGGATGAGGAGGGGGAGGAGGAGGAGGAGGAGGAGGAGGAGGAGGAGAAGGAACTCGGAAACTCGATGACGCCTCATCGTCAGCCGAACGTTGGAGGATAGGAGGACCACAGCCGCTCCTCGAAGGACAAGAGGAAGCCCTCTCCTCCTTGTGGGGAGTTGGCTTAAGTCGGGCGTGTCCTCCCACAGGGGGATTTTCGACGACAAATGAGACATACGCAAAAAAATACTCCCAAATGGCCAGGCAATAGCTAAAAAGTAGTCCCCAGGGTATTTTTTGACTATTTTTGCATAGTCCTCCTGTAAATGGAAAGGTCCGACTTAAGGGTTGGCGCCAACAACAAGGGGACGGGGTGCCGCGGGGCTGGTCCTGGGCCACGGAGGCCCACCCTCCAGCCCATGCCGATGGAGACCCGACGAGGCCAGGACGTGCTTGCAGTCGTGATCCTCATCGTGGTGGCCATCGTCGGCGCGGTCCGCAAGAGCGGTGGTGGACACGTCCGGTTGCATGGCCAGGTACAGCCGCAGGCCACGGCTGTGATTATCGCCACCCCACGTAAGACAAGCCAAAACGTGAATGAAAATCGGAGCGAGGCACAGCGGCTCGAAAGATGCATCGGGAGCCGCGGCCGTTCCAGGGCGCAGTGAGAGCGCTTTGAGAGCGCTCCAGAGCGATTTATGTTTGTAGCAGGCCTGCCTCAAGAACGGTGGTGGCGCGCAGCGGAAAGGACGGCTTGCAAGAGAACCGACATCGAGGCGGAGGTCGGCTGTGCACCGCGCGCGTGCGCGGAGCCGATGCGCGCTCCAGGGCGGCAGCGTGCGTGTGCAGCCTGGAGCAGGAGGGCTCGCGGCACATCAGACGTCAGCTTGCCGACTTCGTCGGCGGCCAAGCCATGCCGGACTCCACCGGTGGGCTCTCAGAGGCAGCCGCGTGACAGGCAGACCGGCAGAGGCGAAGAGCGCCACAGGGGACGAGAGGCCGAAGGGAGTAGGACCGGCGCAGACGAGGCCGACACCAACGACGCCAAGGTGGAGAGCTGCGTCTTCAACCCCGAGGCCGCCGTGCTGGCTGTGGAAACAGGGCCCCTCGGCCCGTGGGGGCACGAACGCCCCGGGTCTGGAGCAAAAGGCCCTCGGGCTCCTCAGGGCTCCTCACCAGCCGCGCCGCATGCGGCTACGGGTGCTGCGGCAATGACGGCTGCGACAGCGGACAAGACCGCGGCGGAGGGGGCCGAGGAGTCCTACAAGTTTGGGCCTCGGGCAGGCAGAAAAGGAAGGGTTGCTCTGGGGCTCTGCGGCGTGACCTCGCGCGCGACGGCGCCGGCTTGGCCTCGGGAGGCGCACGCTCCTGCTGTTGGGGCGCAGAGGGCCCACGAGGACAAGAACGCTACGAGAAGCGGGTGGCACAAGACCCTGGACCACCACCAGAGAGCGTTGGACCACGCAGCGATGCGCAGTGACATAACCATAAAAGCTCGGAGGTCCGTGCGGACCTCCGAGTTTTTGTGGTTGTGTCGTGGTGCGTTCCCCTCCTATGCAAGCGGCGCTGCCTCGCTGGAAGAAGCGCCAGGCGGCTGCAGAGAGCACCCTAGCTCTGCGAGTTGTTCTTCGAGCCAACTAGCCCGGTGGTGTGAAATTACTCCAGAGCGTAGCCGCTCCGCTTCTGGGGAAGCTCTACGAGTCGTCTACGCTTCCGCCGCTTCGCTTGAGGGGAAGCTCTACGAGTCATCCGTGGGCGATGCACGTGTGCAGTGGGCAAGGCATGCTGGATCTCAAACTGGGCGCCAGAGAGGGCGCCGGGCGAGCGCAGGGCCCCGGGGCCCGCTGCAGAGGCGCGGGGCTGCCGCGGGGCGCTGGGCCGCCGAGAGGCGCGGGGAGCCCGCTGCAGGACGCCCCCGGGGGCCTGCCGAGAGGCGCTGGGCCACGGGCAGGCGGCGGCCTCGCGGCGAGGCCGGCGACCGGGGGGCGCGGGGAGGCCCTGCGGCACGACGTGCAGCATCGGGGATGGACAGACCCCCCTGTAGCAAAACGTTGGTTTGGTGAAAACGACCTGAGGCCCAGACCTGGCGGGCGCAAGCCTGGAGAATAACGGCCACGGCGCCCTCTCGAGAACCGAAAACGGACAATTCACAAATCGACGTGTCACTGTTGGGGGTTCTGTCCACCCCCAAAAGCACTGGGCCCGCGGGAGAAGTCCTCAGGCACCAGAGGGGGGGGGGGGCGAGACCCCGCGATCCGAGGCTCCAACAAGAATCGGACCGGGCGGCTTGGGAATCTTTGCGGCCTCCAGGGGCCCTCGCCGGGACCCAGGAGCGTGAAA